GTGTGAATATATATATACACAAATTCTGCATGGTTGCCATGGTCAAATTGTCCACTTCTGGGTTCAGAATAAGTCCCACAGTGCTGTCTTTTTAGCAGGTAACATAGCCACAGGGAGTGTGTAAACAGTGTACAGCAGACTGTCGGCTTTACACTGGAAGAGATTTGCAGCTCCTGGGAGACTTGTTTTCGTCCCACAACCTCAAACATGTAAAGGATGTTTAGTTAGTGTCCTACTGAAAAAAACAAAACCCTTTGAGTGTATGTGTCTATGACTGTGGTAAATATACTAGAGTAAAAACACCTAAAAAGATGGAACTGATAAGAATGGTTCTATTCAGATGTCAGACTATATATTCACAGGAAATCAAGTTACAACTCGAATAATACAACCATTTTTTTGCACCTTTGCTTGAGGAAATCAAAACCTTTATATGTCAATGATGACTGATGTGAAGTCCATTCAAAATGGATATTAGAATTTTTTTTGAGCACCACAGCACATCTCAGATGCTGCAACAAGGTTTCATTTTATTTTACATAAAAATGCAAAAGGAGAATAGACTCTATATTGTGGCACCAGAACTTGAACTCTGAGAAGGAGATTTTACTAAAACTTAAAAAACACTTCAAGTTCAATGTGGAAACTCCTTTACCATTGGATGGTATTTGGGGGATGAAGAGTGGTGAAAGCGGGCAGGGGTTGGTTTTAGGAGTATTTGACAGAGTGGTGAAAAGACAGGGGAATTTGGCAGAGTGGCCATTTGGTCGTGAGAACGGAAGGTGCATTGTTGAGAGCAGCACAGACATTTGGCAGGATGGAAAGAATTGGTGGGGGGTGTTTGGTGGTCCATGTCTGGCAGAATGGTAACAGGTGTTGGTTTCTTTGGAAGATTGATGAGAGCAGGTAGGAGGCGTTTAGCAGTGATGAAAGGGCAGGAGATACCATACTCTCAGCCCAGTGTTGGGGAAACAGAACAGCTTATAAAAGGTGGCGGTCTTCATCCTACTCCAGCAGCAGGGGGTAGTCGGGCAATAAGGCAGTCACTGATGCTGACCAGGTATCAATGGTAACAGAAAGCTGCCAGCATGCCCCCCACCAGATTGTGCAGGTACAGTTGCTAAAACCAGGCAGCAGACTTGTCAATGACCACAGGATAAGGCAACGGTGACCCAAGCATGAACAGTAGTGATTTCACACACCAACACTTTATCGTGCATGCGCATCACCACTCTATTTGTTATTATTGACAAGTCCAAGCATGCACAGTTGGGAGAAGCAGAAAATCTGCTGCTCCACCATTCATACACGAGGGCACTCTAGAGCCTCGGTTCTCAACTGGTGGGTCACAACCCTGTATTCAGTGGGTCACCACATGCCTTCCACTTTTCTAGGCGAGAGGCTCCTCAGCCTCCCCCACGCAGCACTTTTAGTTCTCACGTCGAGCAGCCATTCAAAATATGCTGCCCAGCGCGGAGTGTCAGCTTCGGGTGGGGCTATGGCCGTGAGGGAGCTCCATCCATACATTTATTGCTTACAGCTCCCTTACGTGTCCAGTAGAGGTGCCTGGACCGATGTGACATTACATTCTGGCTCCTGGCACCTCTACAGGGGACACACAAGCAATGAACATATGGATGGAGCTCCATCACAGCAGCCCATACTGAAACCCCAGGCTGAGGATCCACTCCAGTTCGCATAAGATAGGGAGACAGAGTGGATCTTACACAAAATATTAAAATTGTTTTTGGGGTGTGTGTGACTGTCAGTGTTCATACCAGTTTAGTGCATTAAATCGCACAGTCCCATGCGATTAACACACTGTACCATGCAATCTGGTGTGGGAGGTGTGTTGCATTGCCATTCATTTGAATTACACCACAAACGCACCTCCTACCCACAGTTCTATCAACTGCGCCGGAACGTGCGGTATCACAATGCCATGCGTGCCATTGCAGTGTGACTTGGGTCACGTCTTAAAACCAAAGACAAATGTAGGTCCTGAGGTTACATAGGTTGAGAACCACTGCTCTAGAGGAAGCAAAAAGGAGCACCCTGAAGCCAGCTGGAAAGGGGATAGGGAGCAAATTATGGGGCTAACAGGAATAGTGTGTCGAGAAGTTAGAGCTCTTACCAGAACCATTGCCAGGTCGTATGGTCCCGTTGCCCAGGCAACTCCTGTCTATGGTTCACCATGAGCAAAACTCATGGAGGTGGTGAGGGGTAGCCAAGTGGGTAAACACTGGAAAGTCTGGCTGGCAGGAGCAGGCCTAGATACAGATTGTAGTTATTTCAAAATAGTATTTTCACTTTAATGAATATGGATTTTACAGTAATGACACAGCCAGGAACCAGCCTGTGGTATTCTTGGCTATTAGTGCAGAGAAGATATCCATTTAGTGACATCAAAATGCAAAGTCTCAGATACATGCTTGGGACCACACACCTATTAACAGCAAAAATGTAAATAGTTTCCCCCACCATAGATCTACTGTGTACAGTCAAAATGGTTAATCACCCACATTAGCCAAACTACTATCTACTCACACTAAAAATACATCTTACTAAGTGGAATGAACAGACCAGTTCCGAAAATTACAAAGAATTGCTCCAATTATAACAAATGCAAATTACATTTTATTTTATTTATCAACATGACAGTTCTTGTGGTAGACTGCTGAATGTTTTTGGACCGACTGTTGTTCTTCAATGTGGACAGAATAGTTTTCCTCTTCATTTGCATATCAAGTTGTTGCGGTGTATTCTCTAAATGCATTACTAGCATTCAGATAGGCAATTCTACTGTACATGTAAAGCTTTCAGAAACCAGAGATCTTATGTATTGTGTTTCTCGTAGCAGCAGTGAAAAGAAGGTGATATACAGTGCCATTGTAACACATAGGTAGAAAGCATTGAGGCTAAAAGTATTAGGTCTATACAAAATACAAAAAAAATACATATCTTAAGCTAGACTATAGGAATAATTAACATTATATCATTTCTGTTACTAGTGTGTGTGTGATTGAAAGTTCATGACACATGAAATATACCAGCACCAAATCATTTCAAGGCAGACATTTTTTTGCTCAAGCCAGGTTGACCGCGGCAAAGACAAAATTAAGTGCTAAAGGCCCAATTTATCAAAACTGAAGGAAAGAAGAGGGTCCATGTTGCCCCTGGCAACCCGATTTTACTTTTTATTTTAGCCAACAATGATCACTGTAAGCCATATCATCTTCTTTCCACTAGTGTGCATAAGTCAGCTACCAATTTACTATGCAACCAATCAAGTGTTTTCTTTCTTTTTACACATGTTAAAGCGCTAGAAGGGCATTCACTAGTGTGCAATAAGTCAATATTTACTGTACAATTGTCCTACATGTGCCCAAACAACTGGAAGTGAGATTAACATTAGGTAAACAGGGCAGCAGAAGACAATGTGTCAGGTCAAATCTGAATTCCGACATAGGTAGATATATTTATACACATGTTCACTTGCTTAAGCAGAGTGAGACAAGATCTTTTTGCACATATTTGTAAAACAGAAAAAATATACACCATAAAACCTGAAGAGAACATTTTCTTTTCAAAGATGATGTAAATTTTGTATATATTATTGCTACAAGTAGATTCCAGATTATGTACTTACATATGATATACTAACCTATACATACGTGTTTAAAAGTAAGCATTCTTATCTAGTGCCAATTATGGTATGGGGGGCAGAAGTCTGAAAAAATATATATATAAATAAATATTAAACATAATAAATTGGCCTTTAACTATTATACAGGTATTCATGCAGTAAGAAAAACAGGACAATTCAATTCTTCTTAAATCAAATTCTATTTGTGAATTCAGCAAAATAATTTCTATAAAATAAAACAGCAAAATATTTAAATATTATAGAATGGGCTGTATCTGTTTCTGTAGGGAGTATTTGGTTTTTAGACATGTCCAAAAATACACACATTCAAGTTACCAATTATTTTTTTTTCATTTAAATACAGTATTTACTAATGCTTTTCTTGAAATTCATAAAACATCTTTTGCCTGGAATCATGCGACCTCCAAACTGTCTGCAACTAACCAGTAGTTCTTAATGTTCAGTCCCTGCTTATTAAATGTTAAATATTTTTTTTTTCTTTTTCTTTTTTTACACAGTTGATTAAGGACTACGAGACAAATCTAATTTCAAGTAGATCTGTAGTACACTGAGCAAATACCACCAGTTTTTACCCAGGCAGTGGTACTCACAGGTGTAATTAAACGGTCACAGGCCTTCACGTTATTGAGATGCAGTAGAAGAGAAGGAAGTATCAGACCAAATGTCTAGAATAAGCTTACCAAAAAGCAACAAAACAAGCACACAAAATACCATCTATTATGTTTCCGAGATCCTGGCATAGCAATTGTTGCATATTTGTTTGTCATTTCCTCCATTTTGTGTTAATTGTTGAAACCTAAGCATCATTTATCATACAGGCAATCCTCAAATAATACAAATGGGCACATGTGCAACTTAATTCTAAATCCCCGTTGCCCCAAGTTTGTCCCCGATTTTAAAGGTCTAGAATAATAATAAAAAAAAAAAAAAAACCCCTAAACAGTGCAACTGTTTTTAGATCATGGCATATTGTTCTCATTAACCCTCCCATTACCCCTATGTCTGGCTACACTCTCCTGGTGTGAAGCCATGCTATATGTTACAGCAGAACCATAGGAAATTTATTATGAGTATGGAGAAGGCATTAAAAGGAAATTTAAAAACAAAATGATACATTATCACTTGTCCACATCAACCAGAAAATGAATGTGACCATCTGTCAAAGCTGTGGCTGTTGAAAATTAACTGTGGACTATTTTTGCGGTTGACTTGGCAACTGCTGTAAAGATCCAACTGCCATGTGGCAAAAGACAAAAAAAAATTGTAGAGCAGAAGGTATAGTTCAAGAAACTTAAGGTTGTTTTTTTATGGAAATTTTGTTTGCTTTTTTAATTTTTTTTTGTAAAGACGTGAATTTCATCAAGCCCCAAAAAAAAAAAAAAAAAAAAGTCTTGCTTAAGAATTAACAGTCAAACATTAATATACTATGTACACCTTTGCCATTTACACATTAGCATCAGGCCGTTTATTACAAAACACTATACACTTTCCACTGCAGGCGGGTTATATATTGACAGCAAGTTTCTGCAGATAAAACAGTGAATAGACTTTCCACTCCAAGTTGCTTAGGAATAGTTTTTTTTTCATTTTCTAGTTTTAAATATTAGCCAGACACAAAGGAAGGTTGGACTGTAAGGCCTGGGTGCACAGTCTCGGAGGAGTTAAGTAAAATAATAATATTGAGTTTCACTAATCTTTTGTTTGAATTAGGGGGACATCTTCACTGCCTTCAAATTCTTCTTGTGCTCGCGGCTGCCCTGCACGTTGAGGATTGTTCATGTGGTGTGCTGCTGGGCCGGTGTATGGTTGTCCATGCAAATGGTTATTCTGTAAAGCATGACAAAAATAAAAACATTTAACACCATCATTAGTTGTGGCATTAAGAATAAAATTAGACCAAGTACATTTATTTGCATGTTTCCCAGGATTATAATGTAAAATGCACCAGAGACATATTAACAATGAAGATCTGTATGCACATGGCAGAGATGGTAGTTTCCAAATTAATATGTGGACTTGTATAGCCTCACAAAATAAATGCAAATTTGCTTTACAGTTGATGCAAAAATCTGAAGTAGTAAGACCAAGCAACACTCATCAATTTCAGGAGTAAAAGGATGTAAAAACCCACATACATAATATACATTTCACATCCTTAAAAAACATACATTTCACATCCTTTTAATCCTGAAATTGATGTGTTGCTTGGTCTTACTACTTCCGATTTTTGCATCAACTGTAAAGCAAATTTGCATTTATTTTGTGAGGCTATACAAGTCCACAACTATAGCCAGGAGGGCACGCTCTCGTCAATGCCCATTTAGACTGCCTGTACTCCTTACAACACACAGCTATCGAATAAGCAAAGTGCATGCCGTAACTATTTAAGCTGTTTTGGGTTAATCCATTTGATTACAGCGCAGGTAATGGCTATCTGTGTGAACAGGCCCTAAAAGGTTGTAACAGCATCTCACCCCAATGATTAATGGTGCAACCTTACCCCTCAGGAATAGCTGTGTGTTATTTACTTATGTTCTTATCCTATCAAAAGGATAAATGTCAGCTTAATGCCAGACTGTAATGCCCTCATGAAGGCTGACCAGTCTTCTCTCTGAGATCAAGGCTAATAACCGAGACTGTCCGAATTGCTGAATGAGGGTAAACTGGCAATTAACAAAGCCTTCAATATACACGCATGTAATTATGAAAGTATATTCACTACCTGACTTTTTCCTGGCGGGAGATAGTGTGATCTTACAGACTGATACTTCTACTATGATAACAAGTGAAAACAAGCAACCCCTGAGAGAAGGCTGAACTTAAAATATTTAAATATTAATCATACTTATGGATATGTAATGTCATTTCACCACAGATTAAGGGATAGGCAGTACGTACGATGCCTGCAGTAATTGGCCTGTATTGATAGTAAATGTGACACCAAATACCATACACTTACATATTCTTACTGTGTGTGCGCATGTAATCACTGTCCGCATGTCAGAAAGCTTAAATTAAGCCTGCCTGAATCAGGTACAGGTGGCTTTAGTGCAGTTACCTTTTTCTTTTTAACAGCCTCCCCAATTTTTAGTAAGCTTACGTTCCTATGGTATAACAATTTTCCATAATGACCTTTAGTTTCACAAAAAAGGCACTAACCAGCAAATAGATCCATATTACAGCTTATAGATATGAGCCTAACAAGCTACAAATATGATTTTATAATGGTTATTGCTACAGGTTAGTGCACGGAGTCCATTATATTATGATACAGGATTTATATAGCGCCAACACTTTGCGCAGTGCATCACAAAACTGAGGGAGTCAATACAATTTCAATACAGAAAGAAAGAAGAGCCCTGCTCGTGAGAGCTTACAATCTAGTAGGAGGGGCAAGTTATACAAAAAGGTATTAACTGTTTGGGATGATTTAATAGAAGAGGTGAAAGGATGCTTATATCGAAGTGGAATAGGCTTCCCTAAAGAGATGAGTTTTCTATCGTTGGCGGAGCAGCATCAGACTTTAGGAAACCTCATCCAACTTCAGGGTCTAGAGTAATCCTTAGAATAAGAAGTGCTAAATTAAAAGTGTAAATCTAAATAAGTAAGCCTACAAAATATTGAGATTTTTGCATAAGCCCAATCATGATTGGTTCTCCAAGTATTAAGTTCACTGACTTAACTGCAAAAGCAGGGTAAACGTCAAGACAGAAGCCAGGGTCTGTTCATGTGGATTCTCTTGGTGTGATTTATTCATTTTTGAAAAAAAGTTTTAAAATTTTTCAAAATGGTAGTATAATACAAAATAATAAAAAGATAAATGCAGACAGTAAGATTATGAAACCAAAAGGTTCCATACAAAAGAGTGCCGATGGAGTTGATCAAACAATACCACTATACATGAAATCCTATCGAAAGCATAAGCAAAAAATAGAGCCATGTACAATCCAGGGCTTTATTTCCTAATGGGGAAAAAAAGGGGGGTGCTTCCATAAGACTCTCCAAAGTGACCAGTGGGGCTCTTCAAGGGATCTCAGACACATAGTGCGTAGTTAAAATGCCTTAAGTAGGAGTCTCGTCAACGCTATTCATAAGGTGATCATACATAGTGCTTGTAGTAAAGTGCTTCCAGTAGAACCACATATTGACAAACTTCTTTAGTCTAGCTACAGAGGAGACTGGAGCCTCCCTCCACTGTGTCGGTATCATTGCTCAGGCTGCATTTATCAGATGTCTATGCAGAGATTTAGAAGAATGGGCTATTGGTGCATCCTGCCAATGCAGAAGGAATGCTTCTGGGGAGTCGTAAGGCTATTCCCCTATCTTGAGAGATAATTGCGTGAATCTGGGTCTAATAGGGTCTGAGCACCGAGCATGTCCAAAAGATATGGGAAATAGAACCCATCTTTCTGACCACCCGAGCAGGTATGCCAAAGATCATTGATGATGATCTATGGGGGCTGTTAAAGCGTCTATGGACTTTTTGGGGTACTGAATTGAACAAGCCGGGGAGTCCTGTAGCAGAACGTAAGGATTTTATAATTGTTTTGGTGTCTGGCTACTGAACTCTTATGTACACTCAAGCAAACCTCGGTGTGATTTATTTAAACTCTGGTTTTGTCCAAGGTAACGAATTGACAAAAGCTGGAGAAATACCATTGGATTTTTCAAGTACACACCATCCTGGGAATTCAGGAAATGCTAGAACGTGTACAAAGCTGCTTGTAAATCAATGCACAGAACCAACCTATTTAGGCAATGCCCGTTCGGCATTGCGGCCATCAGAAGCCCGCCCCTCAGAGGGGCACGGCTTGCGATCATCGCAAGTACAATCTGCCTGTCCAAGATAGGCAGATCGTACGTTTTTTTAATTACCTTACAACCACCGCAAGACAAAAGTCTTGCGATGGTTGTAAGGTGTGTGCCCAGCATTAGTAACCAGCAATCAATGCACAGCTGCTCTTTTATTTGTTCTTTACAAACCTATAATGGCAATTTCAAAAATATGCTTTGTATACCTTGTATAGTCCATATTCTATGACTTAATAAAAAAACTTTGTATTGAAAGTCAGACTGTTTTTACTTACATTGCATTAACCCCTTAGTGACCAGTGACGTCCATAGTACATCACTAAACAGAAACAGGAACCATACCGCACTCCTTACCGGGATTCCCACTTGATGAAGATGGGTGCTCGAAATGACTGCGGATGGCTCCGCCACACGAACAGTAGAAAAATGTCACCAGCACACCATGAGTTGAAAAAGCAAAATATTTTATTGCCAATAGCTGTATCTCATCTATTGTTCATAGTACATCACTGGCACGGTTTAAACAAACTCCCGCCTCCCGGCAGCCTAAGACTCTGTTTACAATTGTAAAGCTGACTGCTGGCTTTACAATAGAAGAGATTCTGGCGACTCAGCTGTTGCCAGAACGCTTGTCTGAGCAGGCCGGCTACTGCTCCTCCTACAGGCCTGGGATGGGCATTTCGGGTGTCGGTGGGAAGCTGGGGAGGAGAGCGGGAACCTCCGTTCACCGATCTGCTACCCGTGCTATGGGACCAGGAGCGACGCGTATTGCATCACTTCCGGTCCCATAGCTGTCAGTGCTCGGCTCCTGAAGCCCAGCAACAAGCTATTGAAGTGTGATCTGCACTTCAATAGCTTATTTCAAGTGTAAAGGTGATACTAGGGGTCTTTTGGACCCCAGTGTCGCATTAAAGAGTACCTGTCACCACCAATCTGCTATCACACGGGGGGCTTATAAGCCCCCATATGTGATAGCAATTAAAGCCAAAAAAACCCCGGTTTTTAAAAATACAATGTTTATTTTTATATTACTTTTAATATTAAAGTCCCCAGCAAACATGTGTCATAATGTAAAACATGCGTCGGGTGCACCTACATACATAAACGATGATCGCGCTACACATGTTAGGTATCACCGGGAACGCCAGAATGAGAGCAATAATTCTAGGGCCAATGCGTATCTCAAAACTGATGATCTATGGGGGCTGTTAAAGCGTCTATGGACTTTTTGGGGTACTGAATTTTGCTGCCGTTTCACAGACTCACACAATTTTCAAACTGGGCATGTTGGGTATCTATTTACTTGTTGTAACCTAATCTTCTATATTTTATTACAAAATGGGTATTTAAATAATGGGGCACTAAATTTACCTCGAGTGCATTTTTCACCAAATTTGGGGTTTTGATAATACGTTGCGCTAATATCATGCAACATAAAAATTTGCAACTGCCACCATTTTATTCTACAGGGTCTTGGCTTTCAGAAAATATATAATATTTGGGGGTTTGAAGTAATTTTCAGGCCTAAACTGTGGAACATAATTACAACATGGGTGCAAAAAACGATCAAAAGGCCTCGCTCATTAAGGGGTGGGGAAGGGGAAAGGAAAGTCTAGGAAGCTTATAACCAGATGCATGTGGTCAGCGTGTCCCAAGGGGGAACTGGAACAATCATCGGGGAAGGCTATAGCTGTCCTTGCATGTTCTCATAACTGCGATTAAGACTTTCACTACTACATTAAAGGCAGCTTATAATCAGGAACTGATATTCCTGAAATTAGGCTCATTAACTAATTAAGCAGTATTTGTGGAACACCAAAGAAAAAGTAGCAATAATTTATAGCCTTGAAACCAGACAGCACGGTCCAAGAAACACTTTGCTTCTACAAACCTTAACCCCTTCATGACTGAGGCCTTTTTTTCATTTTTTGCACCCATGTTATATTCCACATTTTAGGCCTGAAAATTACTTAAAACCCCCCAACATTATATATTTTCTGAATGCCAAGACCCTGTAGAATATAATGGTGGTAGTTGCAAATTTTTATGTTGCGCAATATTAGCGCAACTCCTTATTAAACCCCATAATTTAGTGATAAATTTAATTAAATGCCCCAAAACACAACAAAATACAATTTTTTAAAATGAAATATAAAAGATGAGGTTACAACGAATAAAACGATACCCAACATGCCCAGTTTACAAATTGCGTGCGTCCGTGAAACGGCGAAAAACTGCAGTACCCCAAAAAGTCCACAGAAGACGCTTTAAAAGCCCCCACAGGTCATCAATTTAGAGATACCCCAAAATACTGGCCCTAGAATTGTTGCTCTCACTCCGGCGTGCGCGGCGATACCCCCATGTGTAGCGCGTTCGTCGTTTTCATACGTAGGTGCACCCGACGCGTGTTTACGTGGCGACGTGCGTGCTCGCGGGGGACTTTACATTTTTTTATTATTAGATTTAGTTTATTTGATTTTAATTTTAAAAACGGTTTTTTTTTTTTTTTACTTTGACTGCTATCACATGGGGGGTCTTCGGGACACCGAAGCGATCTGGTGACAGGTAAGTCGCCAGAATCGCTTCTGTTGTAAAGCCGACAGTCGGCTCTACAAGTTTAAACAGAGTCCCGTCGACAAAAGCCACCGGGAGTCTGTTTAAACAGTCCCGATGCTGGCGACGTACACTGTACGTCGTCAGTCACGAAGGGGTTAATGCACCTGCACCCTAGCTAAACATGCACGAGTTAATCAATTCACAATTTCTTCTGCTTAGACCCGAGTTAGAGAAAATCAAGCAGGGGCCAATTTGTTAAAACATGGGTTGATGCTTTTAGAAAAATAAAATAGGGATTAACATCTCGGTTGGTGTCTTTTTCTATAAAATCGATTTTAAAAAAGTAAAAAAAAAAAAAAAAAAAAAAAAAAAAAAAAAGACAAATTAAAGCAGAAAGATTAATTAAAAATGTGCAATCCTTTTAGATGGCCAATTGCATAATTAAAACACTAACTGTATTTTTACTTTAGGTAAAGCAATTTGAAAATAAAATTTCAAAACCATGATGTAGCCAATATATTAAGTGCAGTACTCAGTTATGTTTCCTCCCCCGCCGTAAGATCATAAAATTAGAAATAGTTTTTCACGCAGTTAGGTTTGTTGATCAAATAGTATGCTAAACCCTAACACAATCGCATACATTTGCACAATAAAGAAGCAAGCACATGTAAAATGCTCCCCCTCCCCAACACCTTAGTAGAGGTTAAGGACAGTCAACCAGCTGCAGCCAGCACATAATACAGAATATTTTTCAGGCATTGTACACAAAGATGGAAAGCTCTGACAGTTAATAATGCACACCACCAACACATATTTGAAAGTTAAATAAGCAATTGACTTTTGTCTTATTAAATAAAAGCCAATCTTTTACTAGCTTTACTACACTAAACTGCTAAAAGCTGAATCATAGGTTGTAGATGATTACTGTACATTATGAACTTCACAGCAAAATTATCCCAGTATATTACCAGTATATAAGCTTAATGTATTTTGTGGTTACAAAGAACATTGCTGTAAAAGGGATTTTGTTTAGCTTTGATATGAATGACAATCACAGTTTCACATAAAAAAAAAAAAATCATAGCAAAATATCAGTGAACCTTAATTTGTTTCCTGTTCATTTGGGGAGTAAAATGAAATGAAAATTACAAAAATATGTATAAACAATATAAAACCATATACCTGCTGAAACTGAGAACCAGGTGAATGGGGATACAATGGGGCATCTTCAGGTGGGGAGGATTCGTGTTCCTCAGGGGCATCTTGGTCATCTGGCTCCTATAAAGTTTGCAAAAGTCGAATTTTGTCACATGCAGGTTTAGTAATTCAGATGCATCTCAAGACTGCCAGAAGAAAACCTCCATATCTGTTACAGAATTAGCACCTCTATAGCTTACACACTTTCTGCCCCAACCATATAAAACACTTCAAAGGCATTTAATATCAGTGGCTGATAAACATTAGCTCATCACCAGATCCAGGCATTTTTTGCTCGATGCGGTGATAAGCTAGGCCAACTAACTGACCAAGGATGGATGGGGGGCTAACACCTATGTTAAGAGTTTAGAAAGCCTATTCTAAAGGCTACTCTTCTTCTAATCAGGGTCTTTCGGCATGACTTTTCTGACAACTGCCCTTTACACAGGAGCTTGTGAAATGCTCATGGCCATCATTCAGGCGTACACCAGCCACACAAATAAGGAGATGGGGAGATGGGGATAATCTATAAAAAAATTAACACTAGCAGGTCTCTTGCACAGCTATCTTCCTTCTTATTTTCTTCATACAAGGTGAGCAGTGGTGTTTAAAGCCCATTTCCCCCTTTTCTGAGGTTTCTTTAAAAACACAAAAAAAAACATGCCAGCAATATACACCAAATGTACATGAAGCAGGGATATGCAGTTGCATACATACAACTTACATTTTTTTGTTAGCTTTCCTCTTCATCTCCTCATGGAAATGGCAGCAATTGTGCTTTGCAAGTAATGTGTGTATAGTACAAGTGAGCTCTCCACCCCCTACTCATTATTCATAGTGGACCTGAGCTCAACCTGCAAAGATTTGCTATGTTATACATCTATAAATGTTGACTGTAACCAAGTAGCAGCCTGAAATATGTACTTTTTGTCTTGAATAGCAGGGCACATTCTGGTATGCAAGGGTGCCTATAGCCACAAAGTTGTAAATCTACCGTGTGAGATCTAAGGCACTGTGCCTATGACTGCTAGATGTAGGGCTTGTTCACACTAGCCTGCAAACCTGCACAGCTTACAGACTTTAGGTCCTCTTTAATATCAGATACACTGAGCAACCGATATCTAAATGTCAAAAACAGTAACTTTTTGCACAATGTGCATCTAATGCCCATGGTAAAAACAAAGAAATGCAGGCTGAAAACAGATAAAAAAAAAAAGAAAACCCCACCGTCTTTTAAGCATTAATACACAGTTTTAAACTTGTAACCACAAATATTAGTAAAGTATTAGTACATTTATAAGAGCTCAATGGAAACCGTGCTTGCACACAAATTTCATTATAAAAACATGGCTGATAACAGAATGAAAGCTCAAATGAAGATAAAGCATTCAACAAATGCATTTAATTTTAAAAATAATTCAAACCACTGAGTACCACACTATTCCGTGATCAATTTTTTTTGGAGGACTTTAGTTAAGAGTTTGTTACATCATATATAGCACAAAGTATCACATTTATCAGTGCTCCGTTAAGATGTAATGCATTTATTTATGTCCTGTACTAGGACCTGCCATCAAAAACAGCTTTGCCAAAAAAACTTAAAATTGATGCAAAAACATTTCTGAATTTCCTCTGAGAATGTCAAACAAGGACCCTTCAGAACAAAATAATAAGTGTTACATAGCATGTAACAAATGGCTCACATTTCCACTGCTAATGCCCCAAGTTATGCAATGAGTACTCGTCAATGCATTAGGATTGTAAATAAGGCATTGAGGGTGTCTGTAGTAAAGATAAATACATTTTTAAAAAAATGAGGGAATGAAAAAACACTTGGTTTAATTCATTTGAATACATCACTATATAGTCAAGTAATCACAAGGATATGTTCTTTCTGTAAAATCTTTTCCTTAAAGTTCCATGAGGGTCACCGTAAAGTAGTAATTCTTAGATATTTTGGTTATACTGTCTACAGAGGTATGGACACTGGCAACCAAAAATATTAGGCCAGTCCCTGTATAGCCCTACCTCTAACCGCCATGCTTTTTTGAGCAAGCCATAGATAAGCCAATAACAGAGAAAATTGGAGCCTGTGTCCCTCAATGGACTTGAGATATTTTATGGCAAGTAGAAAAATCTTTTTTTTTTTTTTTCTTTAATGTGCGCTAAGGTACACAGGTTTGTAGCAATTCTTAGACATTCAGGATGACCAAGAGCAGTCCAACTGAGGGGTGGGCAATAGCCACAAAGATCCAAAGGATGTGGAATCTGAAGGAATCAATTAATAAAGGCTAGATATGGAGAAGCCAAAGCAAACATTTAAACTGCCACCACCAAAATAAGGGCTTTGAGGATCAATATAGTATTCTAGATCAAGATGAGTAATCATCGCCCAGGGCAAAAATGCTGAAAGAATGACCTAGCTAAGTGGAAGACAAGCATTCACCATAGAGAAACCAGATGGAACAAACCTCCAGAACAAGAGAAGAAAAAAAACTTAACCAACATGGTCAACTAAAAAATAGTACTTGGGTAAAAGCAGAAGTCTAAGTTACTCAACCCTAAAGTAAGACTGGACAAACAAAATATGTCCAGACCAAAAGAACAAGCAGCAAACTACAGGAGATTTAAGCAGAACACCCTTAACTTCAGGAAGGAGATTCATAATATAAAGGATGTTGCCTAACAACAACTAATCTCTCAAGAGATAAGCAGACTGTTCCCTCAGCAGTAAATCTGAAAAGAAAGGAGCAAAGAAAGTTTTAGATGGAAAAAGGGTGGTACCCCTAACTCCCTTTAAAGAAAGGGAGGGGTGATCCACAACATCTATATAAAAGGGTAGACAGGATGAGAAAGTGCCACGTGGCGTAAAAAGAAATGAAGACAAGAATGATTAGAAGTCGTCCGAACTTGCACTACTCCACTTAGGGAAACTCTGTAGCTGTTCAGGGCTTAAGATAGATACTCCAATGTGAGAAAGAAAGCTGGCAAACCAAATCTAGGGAAACTATGTTCGGTGCAATCCAACTCAAGGAGCAAGTAAATTGAAACATCCATTAGAATTCTCTTTGTGTCAGACAAAATTAAAAGGGATAATTCCCACCCTGAACTGAATCCAGCAAATTATTAATAGGACTTTTGAGTCTGAAGGACCAGTTTTTTGTGTTGCCCAAATTCCAGATTTCTCCAAGAGAGGAGCAAAAAAGTACTGAAGGACAGAACGAGAAGGGGAACTATGTAAAATAGTTTAACAATCCCACAAACCCTTAAAGTCTTGGACTGCCCTCTGTGTGTCTTTTAAAAGACATGTTGTACCATGTGGCAGAAAACAGTTGGGCCCCAAAAAGTCCCCGACCCTCAACCTTAGAGAACTATGAGGTGAGTGATTTCCACTCATCCTCATAGTTAGAGCCAACCTGTGACAAAGAAACTGTGACAGGTCGGCTCTATTGATCGGGAAGTGAGCAGAAACATGCAGCCGATCCGCTCACTTCCTGATCATCTCCCTGCAGTGAGCTAGATATACTGAGCTTTGGGTCACAGGAGGAGGTTATTATATGTTCTCCCATGACCCTAAAGAACTATGGGGAAAAACAAACACTTACCCCATAGTTCTATTTTAACATTACCACCGTAAAATGGTGATGGCAAGAATTTTAAAATAGCACTTAATGGTACTGTAAGGTAGCTCTGAGTGCTTCAGCTCGACCAGCCTTACTCACAACATGAGTCATCACAGACTGGGTCACACCAGAGGTTGCGCCATGGCTCTGCACCTGGAAAATGCTCCGCAGCTAAAACCGTAGACAAAGGACTGGATATTGCCACAGTGCAGAGACCAGGTCACATTCCATGCTAGCTTCATCACAATCAGAGGCCTACTCACTATGCTAGTCTTCAGAGACTGTCACACCAGAGGCCGTGCCATGGCTGAGAGTGCTTTGGAGCCGAGGGACATGGAGTGCTCTGAAGCCAACAAATGAAAAGGTTCGAAAAATGCAGAAAAAAACCCCAAAAGCTTTTGCTGAGGATATGCCTATCCAGACTAACATAAGCAGCAATTTTTGTAGTCTTGATTGAAGCTACTGGAGAAAAAAAAAAAAATCTGCGGTTTATAGATCTGGAAATAAGGAAAAAAAAAAAAGAAGAAAAACTATAATATAGTTAGATTTTATTTAAGCAGAGCTGAAGAAACGGTGTCCAACCTCCTAAAACACTAGTAAAAAAAAGTGAGGCATTACAAGTTTGAGGTGTGGTTATACGGGGGCTATCTTAACATTTTTTGTTTTGTTTTCCAGTGTCCAAACCCTCTGTAAGTGGCAATATAAGGAGAGATTTGAAGAATTTTTAGAATACTATGTGTTGCTGGCCTTACATTGAATGTTTTTTATCTTTATATAATAATGTCACAATTGTAAAGCACATATAGTTGTTTTTTTTTTTTTTTTTACCTCTTCTGGGCACAGCTCACAAGCCTTGGCAAGAGTCATCCTAGCACTGTGTGACCGCTCTAAAAAGTAGCCATTTGAAGTTTCATTGCTCTGCACTGGCGGGGACCAGTTGTTGTATGTGTACTGAGGATTGCCAGTGTAAGGCCTGCGCTCCAACTCATCGCCCAACCATTCCACTGCCCACGTCCATTTCCTTTTTAAATCTCCATTGCTCTAGAGGTGAAAGAGAGAAGGATAAGTCACTGTAGATATTTCGAAATTTCTAGGTAAATCAAACAACTTCAGGACATCCAGCTGGTTACATCAATGCAGTTTCTTTCTCCCAATTCAATGGACACCACTCAATGGAGGGGTATTGATCAAAAGTAAAGCAGACAAAATCTGGAGTAGTTGTGCATGGCAACCAATCAGCTTCTCTCTTCAGTTAAGATTTGAAAATGGAAGAAAGAAGCTGATTGGTTGACATGCACAACTGCTCCAGTTTTGATAAATTCCCCTCAATGTGTAAGAATGAGATGCGCCGTCCTCCAGCATCTCATTCTAGAGATTCCATTTGAAAAATGCTAACCCCATTACCCACCATTGAGGCCAAAAGCTCTGCCTCTTGAACACGCCACACACACTTGTACAAAATGACCAGAGAATTTCTATTACCTGCAATATTTGGTATGCGACAGAACAGTTGCTGAAGAGTGCGACCATACATTTTATGCACTGGTAAGCTCTCTTCTGATAGTGGTTCTTGGAGCGTTGGATGGTATCAAACAAACCATCTCTGTCATCTGGTATTCCTTTAAGTGCATTGTGAATCCTAAACACAGAAGGGCAATGTTATAAGTAACAAAAGTTGCTAAGCTGACACTTGACCCTGCTAAAAGCAACCTGTTGCTAGGATAAAACACACTGAAATTGCAGTACCCAGGAAAAGAGGATTATTCAATACTTATATGTATCTGGTGGGCAGATACTCAAGTCCAAAGCTTTATTGCAGAGCTATGGCCAGCCTTGCTGTCCCACACTTCTCGGTGTGCCACACATCACATCACCTGCTGAATGTGATGTTACTGTGTATTCTAGTAATGCAGATGCCAGAGGATGGATTCTCAGTGTGCAGCAGAGCACAAGCTATCCGACACACCAGAGGGGTCTATAGTTCCATAAGACAGTGAAGATTGGATGACAGGCAAGTATTAGGAATCTTCTGTTATGTGGTGCTTCGATTTCAGAGTGTTTATTCAAGTGACAGCATGGCTTTAACATTTAGATACGTAATGCAAGCTTTAACACATTTTCTAGTTTTTCTTCACTCACTTTCAAAAAATGTTCAAGAAATCAATAACATCCAAGTATATGCCCTGAAAAATAAAGTATCGGCACGTGGCAGAACGTTCTTAAATTCAAGAAGCAAAGTTTGTGCCAATGTGCTCACTGGTTCTACACAAATGTTATTTCTTTATTTTTAACAATCAAGATAAACATTTTTCTAGTTGAACAAAAATTCTATATTTTGGTTCTCCCCCTCCAAGACAGAAGGTGGCTGTTACACTTCATTTAACATCTATACCTCAATTAAAAAAGTAGGGGTTTTGTACTCGCCATAAAATCTTTTTATGTGGAGTTTATTAAAGGATCCAGAGGAGCAAAGTAATTCTATGACATTGGGGTCATAATGCAGCTTACAGGAAGATTTGGGTACTCGCAAGCAAAACCATGGCCAGTCTAGTATAACCCCTTCCACTCCTAGCATGCCTCAGTTTTGTAACATAGCCGTGCCAAGACTAAGACCATAATCCGAGACGGGTAGGACATCTGTCCCTTTTAAGAACTCCAAGAAAAGGATTTAGTGGCGAGTACAAATATCCTATTTTCTTTGTTTGAGGGACACCGGAATGCAGTAAAATGTTAGACATGCCGAAAGTGCAAAAGTGGTCTGAGGGGTGGGCAGCAAAGCATATAAGATGCTAGCAGGCTCCCTAAAAAAAAGCAATCGAGTTGCAATAACCGGCACATGAACACGGATTAAGATCAAATCTTTTCTTTATTGCATCAGAAGCAACAAAACAGGTCTTAGTCACAGCCCCTACAAACAACTATATAAAACTGGAGACTGCCTGAAGGTCAAAGAGCTGTCTGAAGGACCTTACACCAAAATCTGGCATCAGATGAGGCCTGAAAATCCAACTGTTAAAACAGAAAAGGTAAGATCAGATGACCAGATGGCAGCCATGCAAATCTGGGACACAGTTGCCTGATGCTGAAAAGCCCAAGTACTCAAAGATCTAGTAGAGTGCACTGACAGGAAAGGATGGAACCTGATCCTTAAAAGGAGAATTATATAGAGAATGAAATACACTCATCCCCATAATGAGAACCAATGTGTGGGACTGCAGCTGTTACAAGTCAGCTCATCAGATACAGAGCCGAGTGATCTCATACTGCTGATCGCTCAGTTCTCGATCTTCTCCCTGCTGAGTGGTGTGACTGAGTCACCACTCCCCACAGGGATTCTTCCCCAGCACCGACTGGATGGACAGATGGGGAGGGGCGGGCCCAACTGGCTCTACCTCTAGAGAGGCAGAGTCAGCTGTCAATCAGGTGGCAGGGTGGATCCCAAAAATATTGTCGGCATCTTCCCCGGCCGCAGGGCGGCTCTACTCTACTCTTTGGGTCAGAGGAGGACATAATAAATGTCCCCCTGTGACCCTAAAGAGAACCATGGCCAAAAAATGTTGTCTTTTAAGACCATAGGCCTGAAATATCTGTCTGAGCCACCAAGAAATGGAGTGAGAAGCAGGTTCCCCTTTACAAGGACCATCTGGGATGACAAAGAGAATGCATCTTCCTAATGGAAGCAGTGGCTGTGAGGTAGACTAGTATAGCAGGAACTACATCCCATCAATGAAGGGAAATCTCCTTCTGCTGTACTGGAGCCAGACAGAGGGATGGTAGTTCAATGTCCAGGTTTAGGCGAAAGATTGAAATCACCTTAGGAAGGAAAGGGGTTCTAAGCCTAAACACTAAGGCTGGATTCACACCTAGTAGACAGTTATTGCATGTTTCTACTCACCTTTTTGCATGCGTTTTATGCGCATAAATCAAGTTGCACGTATAATGTGAACAAATGGTGACAAAGATGCAAATGAGCAAACGCGTGCAAAAATGCAGCTAACGCACATTTTCGAGAGTCTCCATTGACGTTTATATGGCCAAGAAGCACAGTACACCAGGGTCTGGAAAGCATCAAACACAGAGTCCAATGCCCAAAAGTTACATTCCAGGCAGGTCCCACAATTGTTCAGTCAATCGGGGTCCAAGAGGAGCATCCAGAGCTTTTAAAAAGGAGACAACGCCGATCTAGAAATATGCATAAAAAGACTAGCTTAAGCGTGAAGTCTTAATGGAGAAAATAAAATTTTGAAAAAGAATCCTAGGAAACTAGCAAGGCATGCTGGAAGGGGTTACACTAATCGGATCACTGTTTTGCGCTTTTGTCCAAATTCTCTCGTAGGCAACTATATAAAATCAGAAAATCTAAGAATTACTACATAACTGTGTCCCTCAATAAACGAGAAAAATACAGTATAAAACTTATTCCAGTGACTTATCCCTTATTAAACACCTCAGTTCAAGGTTACAGTAAGACAAATTGAGCCGCAAAGCAAGCGGTGCCTGCTGGATAGTCTTTCATTAACCCACAGTGCTCTGGGAATTGGGAACACACACAACATCTCTATTGCAGTTCATATGTTTTACTCAAGTAGGAACACAAGCAGTGCCAGAAGAGGGCCCACCTGGTTGCTACTTCCTGTAATTCAGCTCCCAATACAGTGTATTTTCTTCCCTGTTGGATTTTTTTTTTTTTTTACTGGAGATTGGAACCAGAGCCTAACTATGGCAAAGAGCCCCCAAGAGAAATTAGAGTCCAATAGGTAGAGTTGTTCTGTTTTTCCATTTAATAGGAAACCATAAAACCAGACAAATGGGCTCTAAAAGTAAACTCAGGATTTATTAGAGTCCTCTAAGGCCTTCCTATAATGAATACCACCCCTTTTCATACAAACGGTATCTTTTTTTCAGGAAATCTGAACAATGAATGTGATATCTGTGAATGTGTCTGGAACTGGAAAGAGTCCAGAGGAGGGCAACCAAACTAATTAAAGGGATGGAGGACCAAAGCTATGAGACAAGGTTACTAAATTTAAACTTGTGAGGAGACTAAGGAGGGATATGAATTTTCTTGTACAAGATGTTCAATAGTGATTGCAACATCAGCAATAAACTCTTTACGGTAACTTCCATAACAAAGACTAGAGGCCACCACCTAAAATTGGTGGAGAAAAAAATGTAAGCACAAGGGGCTTCTTCTCAGTTAGAGCGGTTAGGGTCTGGAACTCGCTGCCGCAAGCAGTGATTTCAGCTAAGAGTGTCGAATCATTCAAAAAACATTTGGACGATTTCCTCAGAGACCACAGACCACAACATACAGGGGTACAGGTACACTAAGATGACACATGGACTCATCCACACTCATACACATGTAGATTCACATTCATACACGCTATAGGTTGGACTTGATGGACCAGTGTCTTTATTCAACCTCAAATACTATGTAACTATCTACAAAGAAAGGGGTTGTCAAGACAAAGATTGTTAAATATTTGCTTTTTAGTAAGTTTATAAATGTACTTACCTATGGGTCTGCCAAGAGTCTTCTATCAACAAGATTTGGAGTAGAAGGTCCAAATAGGGCCTAAGCTCATAAGTGTAAGAATATGCCACCTACATTTAAAATGAGAAGAATTTAATCAAATTGTGAGCTTTGAAGATGAACTGATATGACAATGTTTGAACATTACTATAAAAACAAACTATACACAAACCATACTGATTGATATTTTTTGACCAACAAAACACTAGCTAAAATGGCCATAAGCATTCAATTGTATAGATTATGTTTATCTACTGAGACACATTGGGGGGGAATTTATTAAAAATGGAGCAGACAAACTGGAGCAACTACCTATGACAACCAACCAATCTGCTTCTATCTTTCATTTTCAAAGCTTAAAGAACCCTTGCAGTGCAGGGATAGCCCACTGCAAGGGTTAAGTAGTAGTTTCTGCCTAGGGTAAAAAAAATAAGTTATACGTAACTGACCCTTGGAGCCACCGGCAGTGACAGCACTCCCCCCTGCCTCCTCCTCAGCTATGGTATGTCCCTTGACTCCCTCAAGTCCTATACAATGTTTATAGAATATGATGCATCACGGACCTTAGACCACTGCATCAGAGAGGGAGAGGGGCTCCAGGGACCAGTCTAAGAGGTAGGATAGGATGAGTATAAGTTTTTTTTATTTTTGACCCTAGGCAAAATCAAGCACTTTACTCTTGCAGTGCAGGGGTAGCCCCACTGCAAGGGTCAATACAAGGGTCAATACAATTTTCTGCTTTAACTGAACTCAAAAGACTAGCTGATTGGTTGCTGTTGGTTCCTGTTCATGTGATCAGAACAGCCAATTATGGTGTTCAAGAAGTTTATAATAAGCAGACAGGAAGCAGCAAGTGCCAGGAATTCATATGCAAGTACTGTATCAATAAAGCATAAACAGTCTGTAATAAAATTAGCCAAAATCATTGTAATTTATACACACTGGCCCAGGGTGACTTTGCATGGCAGTTATGTGAATATAAAAAGTATAATTGTTTATTAACTATATTGGGAAGGTGTTAATAGCCATGTTTTTGCGTTTGCAGATGATACTAAAATTGGGAGGGTAATAGACACAAGCTTAGACATAACATTACAGGAGGACCTGGATAAAATAGGGAAGTGGGCAACTACATGGCAGGTGAGGTTTAATGTTGAAAAAAAGTAAAACTGAATACACATTAATGGGTACCCCACTAAGGAAGTCAGAAACGGAAAAAGATTTGGGGGTCAGTTGACTACAGATTGAATAGCATGCAATGCCAGGCTGTGGCAAACAAAGCTAGTACTGTCATGCATTAAAAAGGGAATGTTTTCTAGAGACAAAGCAATCATTTTGCCACTTTATAGATCGCTGGTTCAGCCTCATCTGGAGTATGCGGTGCAGTTTTGGTCACCAATCCACAGACAGGATGTCCTGGAGCTGGAGAGCATCCAGAGAAGGGCAACTAAACTAGTTAAGTGGCTGGAGGACCAAAGCTATGAGACAAGTTTGCTAAATTTAAACTTGTTCACGCTGGAAGTGAGGAGATTAAGAGGGGACATAATTTTGATGTACAAAATGTTTAATGGTGATAGCAAAGAAAGATTTAACCACACAGGGCGTAGCGGCTTCTTTTCAGTTAGAGTGGTTACATTTTGGAACTCTCTGCCACAAGCAGTGATATCAGCTGAACGTATTGAATCATTCAAAAATCATTTAGATACGGGTACTATTAAAAACTAGACCACACAGGGACTCATACATGCACAAACACACAGACACACAAAGGTTTAACTTTATGGACCGGTGTCTTTAATCAACCTTAAATACTATGCAACTATGCACACACCCCTGTAATAATGCCCTGTGAACAGTTCAAATAGCAGTCAATTTTGGCACAAAACCTTCTGGCCACAGCTAAAAATGAAGAACTTTACCATTCTGCATGACAAGGACCCACAGCATTCCTATAAATAAACAAAAAAACGGATTCACCAGAGGTTTTGGAAAGGCCCAGCCAGAGCCTGGCTATGAATCTAATAGAAAATCTGTGGGATGACCTTAAGAGGGCTGTGCACAGGAGATGCCCTTGCAATCTGCCCACTCTTTCATGCAAAAGCCCTCAAAATCTGTCAAAGGTTCCCAAGGCAAGATGTGCCATGCTCCAAGACTAAAAGCGGTCATAAAATCAAAAGGTGCTTCAACACAGTGTTTGTTTAAAGGAGTGCATATTTATTCAACCACATTATTGTAAGTTTTTTTTACTTTTTCCCCTTTAAAGATTTCAGTTTGTTTTTAATTGAATTGCACAGCTTAAAAAGGTCACATGGTGAAAACAATTCTGGAGCGAGTTATGTTGGTTTAAATTTTTTTTTTTTACATCTCAAAAACCTGGCATTTTTACAGGGGTGTGTAGACTTATTAAATCTACAGTAATTCATCCTGATATGAAGGCAAGCCAAGAGAACCTACACTAAGCTGCACATTTGGGTGAACGGTATACATTTAGAGGAAACATTGCTAGCAGGCAAGAAACATACAGGGTCGCTTCTGCAATTAAAATTGTGTGCCCCAGGACACACTGAGGGAAATTTATCAAAACTGGAGCAGGCTGAATCAAGAGCAGTTATTCATGGCAACCAACCAGCATCAATCTTTCATTTTCAAAGCTTAACTGAAACAACGCAAAAGAGAAGCCTTACTTCTATGGACAACTGCTCCAAATTCTGTCTGCTCCAGTTTTGATAAATCCCCCCACTGTGTATATACAGGAGCACATCTAGGATCTTGTATTTCATATGGCAGCTCTGTGTAAATAAGCAGCCTGAATCAAAACCCCAACAGCAGGTATCGTGTTTTTAGTCAGGGATCACAAAGATCTCTCGGTGACCGGCTCAGCGATAGAGCGCGGCAGCACTTGCCATTTACATTCCTCACATAATAGCTGCAGTCCTCTGTGCTTGGGAAGCTGTGAGGGAGCATAGCTGTGGTTTCCCAGGCTTCCCATGCAATCAGGAAGCTGGGGGTGGTCACATGCCAGGCTTCATTACTACGCCCCTGCTGGAAGAGGTAAGGGACAGTTGGAGATGGGAATCCGGGATGCCGCAGGTATGTGTATGAGTGTGTGTGTCCGGGAGTCGCGTCGGCGATCCAGTGACGTCATGGTCATCGACGTCACCGGAGTCCGGTGACGTCGATGTTCGTGATGGCTAACGAAGTGAAGGGGGAAGGAGTCCGGTGATGTCAATGTCCGTGACACCACCGGACTCCTCCCCCCTTCGTTAGTCGATGGAGCCACTTGGGCCGGTAAGTTTGCCCAAGAAACTTCTGCACGAGCGCCAGCCAAGGCATTGGCCTATACACATACAGCACAGCAATGAAGTAATAAAATGAACTAGGATCACTCTAATCAAGCACGTTATTATTCTGAGTTGCCCCACTCAAGCGGCGGCTATATTGAGTGGGGCACGTGAGATTAATAATGTGCTGGATTAGTGTGATCCTAGTTCATTTTATTTCTTCATTGCTGTGCTGTATGTGTATAGGCCAATGACAAAAATATATACACCCAAACATGTTTGTACTTTTTTGTGCACACTCTATCCTCCCTATATTATAGATATTGGAGCTACAACTCTTTATCCCTTTATCCCAGGAAAGTTGGGAGCCTTTATGAGAAAGAGGATACTATCGGTGTTTGTTTTATGCATGGTGGCCAACATGTAAAAATCGCTCTGCAAGGATTATTTACAGTTGTCAACCAAATTAAACATTTTGTACTTTAATCAGAGAGGAGGGTGTGCACCTTACTTCTAGAATTTACAGAGATGGACACTTTGAAGGGAATTTATTAAAACTGTAGCAAACAAAATCTGGAGCAGCTGTGCATGGCAACCAATCAGCTTCTCTCTTTCATTTTCAGATCTTAGCTGAACAAACTGAAGAGAGAAGCTGATTGGTTGCCATACACAGCAGCTCCAGTTTTGATCAATTCCCCCCTTTATGTTTACCTATGCCCATTATTAAAGGGCCCTGCGGATATGTTTGTAGTCTTTTAGATGGTTTTAAAGGTTTTTTGTAAAAAGTCTTTTGTAATTGTACCAAATGGATTTTTGTATACATGTATATGAATTTTGGTGGATGATTGTCCTGCTGTCCCTCAGGTGGCATAGATGCTTAGAGTGAAAACCAGGTTATTATTCGTTGATGATGCATCATACACTTGGCTACACTGGACATTTAAATTGTTGGAGGCTATATTTGCTGACGTCATTACAGTACAGTTGCCCCCCTCACCCTCCATTTTAGGTTTTTCCTTGGTGTTGTATTAAGGGATCTGGACCGCCAGCAGAAAGAAATGGCAAAGATAAGGAAGATTCTGGCCATACTGAAAACATTCATCTCATTGGAATTCTTCACATTTAATACATTCACTTATGCCATCTACACTACATTGAGCACAATTTAATTTTGCATGAAGATCAGCTCTAACATAAAAATTGTAAAAAAAAAAAAAGAAGTATTCAGTGATGGCTCACCTGCCACAGCAATTCACTGAGAACTGTAGAGGAGAACTGGGGATTCTCCCAGCAACAAAATCGAAGCAATTTGATGGTCTCTTCAGAGTTGCTGCAGTCCTCAATTATTTTCTTCACATAGCTGGTTTTCACAAACAACAACTCTGCCACGTTCTGCTGCAGTGGCATAATAGGCTGGGAAAGGTTGGGGTCTCCGTAGGGGTTAGACAGTGGCGGATTACCTGTAAATTGAATTTTTTTTTACTATCTAAACTGGCTGTACAAGTCCAAAAAAAAAAATATTCAGTAAAAAAAAGAGCTGATTGACTAAAAGGAGAAGTTTACTTCCAATGTGAATTTTCACTTACCCTAGTGAATGAGTTTAAATTAAGATTCACTTTGCAAATAATACCCAATCTTGTGCAAGGAGTCAAGATCTTTTCCTTTCAAATGACTGGATGATTGAAAACAAAACAGCTTCACTATGCTAAGTGAATTTCTCTCTTAGCTGAATGAGGTGAAGCCATGCTGACTTGATCATTCAACCCTATACAAGCCAAATCTTGTTTTTTTTAATTCGAACTTTGTTTTAACTCATTCACTAAAGTAACAATTTACTTAGTGAGAATGCTCTTCCCCCTTCAGTAAATCAGGGTATGTGCCTCTAAAGCTAACCATACATGCTACAATCTGTATTACCCAACAATTATGTAGTCCAAGAGTCTGCCAGGCTGCATACAACTGGACTAAATAGACAGTTAAGGCAGACATTTACAATACATAGTTTTGGTATTTCTAAATCATATTGTACAGAGATTGCAAAACCAACTGCAACCTAGCCAGTCACTAAACATATTAACATAGGCTAAAACAAAATCCCCAAGACCCTTAATAAGATTTTGCTTAACACAATACTTTTTCGAAGTTTATTGAGGGACTCCGCTGTAATAAGCAACTCAGGGTTATACTGCCATCTACATGAGAAATGAACCTTAAGCACACAAAAAATACTGGAGGCCAAACCCTTCTACAGAGAGAAGTCAGGGGGAAGAGAGCAGTCAGAGGGAAGGGAGCTAAGTCCCTTAAACTTCTGGGAAAGGATTTTACAAGAAGTACAAAAATAATAATATTTTCTCCGTCAACTATTGAGGGACACAGCTTTATTAAGTAAACCAGAGACGTCCAAACCAGAAGGATGAACACACCTAAAAGAACACATGCGAACCAAGCCCAACCAGAATGCAAACAAAAAGGGTAACCAAGGGCATTACAAAGTAGCTTATATAGGTGGAAACTGGCGTCTGCAGATAGACATATCAACTCTATAGAATTATGTACAGAAGACCGGGCTGGTGCTTTACAAACTTGAGACACAGATTCCTGACTAAGAAAAGCCCAAGAGGCACTCACTGCCTTAGTGGAACAAGTGTCTGACGTCTTTCCAACATGGCCATATGTCTTGGTACACCTAGAGACGGAGATACCTTTCTCCCAGGTCCAAACGCTGTCTGGCAATATTCTACATCGTTAGTGTGTACCTTGGAGAGGCAGCACATGAAGTTCTGTCCAGGATAGGATGGACTTCACTTGTGTCGCTGCCACAACACTTCTGGTGCCACCTTGATGATGTAAGCCATGGCCATGGTGTTGACCGACTGCATGTGGACCAGATCAGCACAAAGGAAAATTCAAGCAACAGAACTCCAAGATGTTGATTGGGGGCTTTTATGTTTTCTTTAATCAACTACCCTGACCAGAAAGGAGGCCCAGAACTCCGCCCCATCCCTGAAGACTGTCATCCATCAAGACTCTTTCCACACAGGAGGAGGAAGAATCTGTCCATCAATGCCGGCGGGAGCAGCTACTAAGGTAACAATTTGGATCGTAAATGTAACTGAGTCAACCAGTAAGTGGAATTGAGCAACCAGGACCACTATGAAGTTAGATACCGTCAACCCCAGAACTAAGGGATGAACAAGGTTAGGAGCAAAATTGAAAAACTTGTGTCTTAAGTTTTGTAAACTTTTTTGGGGGCAGAAAGACCTTTGCCTGAAGAGCATCTAGGAAAAGGCCCAAGTACTTCAAGCGAAGTGAAAGAACTAGATGGCATGTAGCGTTTAAGAATACAGAATTCCTGCATGGTGTAAAATGCGTTTAGCGCATTGTTGTCCAAAGCCAGGGGCATCTGATCTTGCAGGAGGAGGTTGTCCAAGTATCCGATAATTGGAATGCGCGAGGCAGAGAAGCCACAGAAATCTAAAAAAACTCTTTAGAGCGGAGACCAAAGAGAAGGCCCACAAACTAAAAGTGGTTGTTGCCCAATGTGAAGAGAAGGTATCACTGATGACCTGAAAAGATAGGAAAGTGTAAATATGCATCTCTTATATTGATGGATGACAACAAGTCTCCGTGATGAAGAGAGGCAATAACTGACTGAATACATACAATTTGGAACTTTTGGTGGCAGAAGGTGATATCCAATATAGGTTGAATGTCTTTTTGGTTTTGGAAATGTAAACAGGTTTGAGTAAAAACCTTAAAAGGTTTCAGATGGAGGCCATGGAATAACTCCCTGAGTCAACAAAACGCATTGCAGAGCCACTGGAATGTATGAGGTGAAAAACAAAGAGTAAGAAGGGGACACAATTTTGTAGCCTCAGGACACAATCTCCAACACCAAAGCATCAACTATGTGAGCCAACAGATGTCCCCCAACTTGTAATAAAACATATTGGGGTGAACAATTTAGGCAGTAGTGAACCTGTCTGCAGGTTTTGAACCTTTAGTCTACCATGGTTGTTTAGATACGCTAGAAGCTGGATTCCAATTCGGACGAATGAAAGAAAAGACTAGAAGCAGAAAAAGGAGAGGTAGACCTACACTGATGCCCTTTATCTTTCTGCGCCTGTGTAAATGAGTACTCTTACCCCCTGTTGTGTTCTTAATGATACCATCCAGCAAAGAGACAAAAAAGAAAAATGGTCTCCCGCGAAGTATAGGCATAACCACCCTTGTTCCTCCAACTCATTGTAGCCAAATTAAAAATGCACAAACTGCCTCCTGGGTACTGCTCACAGCTTGCTACAGCTACTCACAGAGAGCGAGTCTTTAGACACTGGGACAGAGAGAAACACTGCAAACAGTTCTGGTCATGACAACTCAGGAAGGAACAAAACCGGCCTGACTTCAACCACAAAGTCCTGTGCAAGATAAACACACAGACGGGGCTGCTACTGCTCACAATGCAGAACTGTTGCAGAGAGAACACCAGTATACTTAGTAGACTGGAAAGTCTTTCTAGTTGGCCAACATATTTTACCAGAGTTCCAATATGCAACCTGACAAAAAAAAACAAAAAACAATCCAGCAAGGAAGGAAAAGGAAACACCCATTATTCTTGAGGAGACGACGACGCAAAAACTGAGCAGAATTCTGGGGTAGGGGTTATAGGTTCTATGCTGCAGTGCAACTACAAGTCCCATGAGACATTGCAGGACTGACAGCACACCATTTTACGGACTAGATCGGGTCCGGAAAATGGTGTGACCCTGCCCGCAGTTCCAGTGCATTCCAGACCAGACATGCAGTATTTTTCTGGTAGGGACTGCGCTGGTGTAAACAGAGGCCACAAATAGCATAGGGATCTGGTCTGGTGATGATCTGGATGTGAAAGGGTCCTTAAGAAAAAAAAACACCTATATTTCTTACCCACAATGCAATTTGCTATTCTTTTAATAAAGCACTGAGGTGGCTACATTGGACAGAGATAACTGAAATCTGAAATATCTGAATGTGTTAGACTAAAGCTCAATCCCCTGGAAGAACTGAAATAAAAATAAAATAAAGCTGAAATTATTTACCAAGAACATAAACACTTATTTTCTATCACAATTATTAAATAACCAAACACCCTTGTGTGTTAAATTCAAATATACGGACATTACCATTAATAGAAGACTGCATACGCGATGATACATCGCAACAACGGATTAGCTGTGACACTACAGTGTACAATTTGCCCAATTCAGCATACTGGTATTTGATTGGAGGACCAGGCCCTTCATCCATTGCTACTAGCATAAATGTTGCAGGCACATTGAGTTTCAGAAGCTGGGTCTTTTCTTGCATGCCTGAAAATGAAAGCACAAGATTTATATGAATTCACAACTTGCAGATCGCTAGTAATGTTATTTAAACATCTAGCCCTTATAATGGTTTTTAAGCTATTAAAATAGGTTAGTTTGTAAAAAGCATCCTAAAAACAATTCACCAATAAGTTCATCAGTCTGAAAAACACAAGCTGACCACAAGCGTCTGCACTTCAGGGCAGAGCACAATCCTCTTAAGAGGAAAGTTAAATATACGTTTTAATTTGTTTGCAGCACCATAGGTTTCATGGTTGATGAAGTGAACATTTTTGTGTGAGCCAATGCAATCAGCATCCTGGCAAAATGACTAGCCAGGGTGCTGTAATCACCTGCACATTAGCATTCAGACAGGAAGATGCACCACTCTAAGATGGACAGGTTTTATTGTATTAGACACAGCTGTGAATCGAACAAATGGAGCTTGCCGATTGGAGGAAAAAAAGAACTGAGATGACCTCATCAATGAGCAATTGCTCTTTTACTACGCAAGTCACAGTCCTGTCCAAGATGTATTATTTGGGCAGCAGTGGTGAAGAGTCAGGATTTTGTATAGTGTCTGTAAAAGATGTTTGGGTTAGAAAAAACAGATTGACTTACCTATAACTACTTTTCTTGGAGTACAGTACAGGACACAGGCGTCAGTAATCATAGATCCTGTGCTATATGCAGTCACATTCAGGTGATTGGACACTGGCAAACGGTAAGCGATGAAAGGAAAAAGCATAGAGGGGAGACTGACCTGCGTCTATTACTGTAGTCCAAGAAAAGGATTTACAGGCGAGGCAAAAGTCCAATTCACCTTATCATACAATACAAGACACAAGTTCCTTTAACCCTTTCGCTGCCAAGCCCTCCGGAACATTTTTCAAATCAGCTGGCCAAGCCATTTTTGAATTTTCTGCAATTTTTTCCTATTGGTTTGATTTTCAACTGCTGCGTTGCTAGCGTTTGTAAAAGACCCCCCAAACCATATATTTTCTGAAAGCGCAGGCCCGGTAGAATAAAAAGATGGTGATACTAAATTTGTAGGCCCTGCGATAATTGCGCAAATGTTTCTCAAATTAATATTAAACCGATAAAAATACACAATTCAATTGTTAAAACACACCAAAATCAGTATCCGTGCACAAAAAAAATAATTTTTTGACAGCAGACCCTGGGATGTCCCCAAGCAATACAACTGGGGTGTGGGCAACACGGCAAACAAGCCCACAAGAACTAAGGGAACTAATTCCAAACTCAAAGAGCTGCCTGAAGCACCTTACAGCCAAAGCTGGTGTCAGAAGAAACCTGAACATTTACCTGGTAAAACTTCACAAACATGAACTAAAACCAGGTGGCGGGCTTGTATCGGTGCATCCCATATATACGTTCCGTATATATATTAATTCAGAGCACCTATACTGGTCCCTTTATGGCCAGTAGGTGGAGGCATTTCTAGATTAAACAAAGTGTCCACCAAAGCTGTAATGATCTCATTAGGCCTGGGAGAAATAATTGGCGACTGGCCTTTCTCCCGTAAGAAGTCCACTGAATCAAACTCACTCTTTCCATGCTAACCACGCCCCCAAGGAAAATAAATAAATAGTTCAGTGACGGGAAAGCAACTCTGTGGATAATGCCAAATAAAGACGCTTTCGCCCTTTGCTTACAGCATTTTCCAACAGTGTAGAGACTTTGCCCATAAGTGCTGCCATGGAAGAAGAATATTAATCTCTAATTAAAAAGGAGGAATGGGAAAAACACAAGGGTAGAAGTAGAAGGGAGGACCCTGAGGAGCATGGACTGAAGTCTCAAGTGTCGGAAACTGAGCTACCAGGGGAACCCTGGTTAGTTTCATCATAGCCCTCTGCACCTTGTGTGCTGGCCTGTCGCCTAGTCCCATTTCCCTTGTACCCGACATCCCCCTTTGTGGTCAGAAGCACCCCTAAGGGTACCTATGACCTTTGCTGTGAAGCAGAAGGGGTGCAGCCGACTATTGTCTCATGACTGAGGGCTGCTGGATAACCCAGTCTCACTTCTCCCAAGGAAAAAAAAAATAAAAAATCTGAGGTTTGCTAGGAGTTGAATGGGTTTTATGGGCTTTCCCACAAATCTATTTGCCAGTGTCCAATCACTTGAAGACGAATGCATATAACCCAGGGTTTATGATTAAAGGAGCTTGTGTGCTGTACTGTACAATTAAGAAACACTATTTAAAGTAGGTGATTACCTCATTCGTACACTTTAGAGGAGATAGTCCACATTCTTGTAAATCCACCACACCCAGCTAGAAAATCACCTAAAGGTGGCCATACACTCTACAACCATCGCAAGACTTTAGTCTTGCGATGGTTGTAAAGGGATTAAAAAAAAGTACGATCTGCCTATCTTGGACAGGCAGATCGCACTCTCGATCATCGCAAGCCCACCCCCCTGAGGGGCGGGCTTCCGATGACCGCAATGCTGAACGGGCAGTGTGCGCGTGCGCACACCGGCCCGTTCAGCATTTATCTTCCGAGCACCGTTCTAACCAGCCGAGAATCGTACGATTCCCGGCTGGTTTTCGAACATGCTGGTTCGACAGAAGACGTGCGACCGTACAGTAGAAATGGTCGCACGTCTCCGTTCACACTGTTCGGTTATCGTACGAAAAACCGATCGCATACGATTATCGTACGATAATCGTGCAGTGTATGGGCACCTTAAGAGTAATACAGAAACATACCTACTACTGAAATACCTTCATGTTTTTGAGACCAGAACCCACAATTCCTAAAAAAATTACTGGTACTGTGACTTGCGTATTGCTATATATTTATGCCATTTACTTTTAAAGTGAACCTTTGGTTTACTTTAAAAAGAAAAATAGTTTGTTAGTATTGCAGGCCATGTTGTAAGAGGGATATAAGCATTGTTTCTCACCAAGGTTGGCATACATGACGAAAAGGTTGAAGTACTGTTGTAGATGACGACCATGCTCAGACACTTCTCTTCTGAGAAGGTTAAGTACAGCTCTCAGTAATTGGTCACTCAGACTCAAATTATCATAAGCCTAGAACAGAAAGCATCATAGCATTTTTGGGGATACAATAAATTTAATATATATAGCATATTACAAAAGGCAAATGGATAACTATAAACATAAAAAGCAATAAAGTACCTGGCTTGATGGTCCAGGAGAAACAAAGGGTAAGGTGCAAGGGCCATCTTGTAAAGAAAAGTGTGCAATAAATACTACAAGTTTTGCAAAAGCTCCTCTGACTTCAGCACTAGGACACTCCAAAAGATACTCAGAGAAACGATTTGGGTAAGCAAAAAGGACGCCATGTGCAAACCAGTAGCGGACATTCTTGCTATGGCGGAGTAGGATACACAATGCATCATACCTATGATAAATTTTAAAAATTGTTCAGGTCATATAAATATCAGCATTATATATGTTGAAAAAACATGTTAGACTTGCAATCTCACAATCAATGCAACTTAATTGCTACTTTTGCAAAGGCCTAATCGGCAAGCTGTATTTAAATATAAAAACGTTTAACATGAACCAACATATTGGAATTTTTTGCCAATTTCTCATTTCATCTTTTGCTAATCTCTGGAGCATATTTTTGCTCTTTGAAAACCAAGAAGCATAACACTAGAAACTTAGAGCAAAAACCCTACATATGCCAACCTGTATTATGTTTAACAGGCATTTCACCCTTTCCCCAGATGCACTCCATTCACTTGTGGTGAGCAAAGGGAGGAGGTTCTCTCCATACAGCCAAGTACTCTCTCTGCACTCCCATGAGACAATAGGCAGAAGTAGCCAATGACCATGCATTGGAGGTCATGTGGGAGTTAGCGTATCATAGTCTCCTCCATACCCAAACTTACCAAGTACCGTATTTTTCGCTCCATAAGACGCACTTTTTCCCCCAAAAAAGGAGGGGGAAAATGTGCCTACGTCTTATGGAGCGAATCCTGACGCCCGAGACATGCAGTTTCGGGCGCCGGGCGAGTAGTAGGAGCCACTGTTTGTTTAATACGAGTGATCTACTGAGATCACTCGTATTAAAACCGAGCAGCGGCGATCGATATCAGTAGTAGGAGCCACTGCTCGTTTAATACCAGTGATCTAATGAGATCACTGGTATTAAAACCGAGCAGCGGCGATCGATATGAGTAGTAGGAGCCACTGCTCGTTTAATACCAGTGATCTAATGAGATCACTGGTATTAAAACCGAGCAGCGGCGATCGATATCAGTAGTAGGAGCCACTGCTCGTTTAATACCAGTGATCTAATGAGATCACTGGTATTAAAACCGAGCAGCGGCGGCGATCGTGATCGCCATAGAGCAGACGAAGAACGGACGTTCTTCGTCTGCTCTGTGTGATCACTGAGACCGTGGCGCTGTAATCACAGCGCCACCTGTCTCAGCGGTCACTAACTGCAGCTTCTGTCACAGAAGCTACGGTCTGTCGAGTGCTCCATAAGGCGCACCGTACCTCCCTGCGTCCTATGGTCCGGTGCGTCTTATGGACCGCAAAATACGGTACTTGATAGTGGTTGAACAGAGCAGCATGAAAGCAAAGGGAAAGGGTGTATCTGCAGCTGGTGATGGTGGCAAAAAATATCAGTCTTTTAGCACTTTTTTGTTCCTCAGCCAATGCAATCTGGCTTGCAAGTTTATAAAAAGCTTATACAGAATGTTAATTTTGACAAGTGTACCCCGGTGTGGATGTTGTTCCTGCATTACAATATAAGCACAGTTCATGTTTAATACACATTACATGACCAATTAACCCCTATGGGTAAATCTTACAAAAAAGATACATGCACTGCACTTGGATAGCCTTTATTCAATTGTTTATTTCAAAGAAGTCACATCATCCACCTGAGCTCATCCCCTTGAAGCATTTCATCCTCCATTAGGATTAGCCTGCTTGACTCTATGACTAAGCGCCATGGAAGGTAAAAGGTGTCAGGGGGAGGAGCGCAGTTGGGTGATGTAACATATTTGAAATAAATAATTAAATGGAGTATAGCAGAGTGTTGTCCATGGATCTTTTTAGAGTATATTGACCGGTGAGGATGGATCTCTACAGAGCTTGCAGCTGGAGCTATGTATTATGGAATTATGTGTTTTGCTATGGTAGATATGTTGCAGTAGACATGCTACTTGAATGACTTGTACAAAATATACTGTGTGAAAATGCAAAGTTGAAAGCTATAATTGCACATAGCTAAACAGGAACTTATGAGCGCAATCCATGCATTTAAATGTACCAAAACTTAAAACATGTAAACCAGTCCTTGCTTCATATATGTTACAGCAAAAAACAGTTAAAGATAAGCTCACTATAAAGCAATAGTTTACCAGTCACTAGCAGGACCACGGACAACTTTCTTTGTATGAAATCCTGTGGTAAACAAGAATTTAGCAGCAAGCTGTATACTAATCATGGTTATTTCTTCTGGCTCGGGCATCAACTGTTCTTGTCCTGCACAAACAGAGAAAAGGTATTTTCTGAGTACAAGTTTCCCCAGATAAAGAGACAAGGTTAACCGAAAAAGAAAAAAAAAAAAAAAAGAAGAAGGGAGGCAGAGAACAGTCATTCCCTCCACTTCAAAAAATGGATACTCAAGTTTTGCAATACAAAAACAGGGCATGGGGGAGTGACAAGGTGGCGGCAAGATTCAATCAAGGGTTTTTTGTTTGGGTAAAAACAACCTTTATTACTTTAGTTTGGGAATTAACAAAAGCAAAGACATATGATTTGCTTACTGTATGTCCAGCCAAATTCTTTAGTGAGCATAGCGTGAGGTAAGAGCTAGAGCTATTTTATTTAGAGCTCCATTAAAGAGCTTTCTGTCCCAGTGGCAATTGTTTCACTAGCAGCTACCTAACTAGATTTCTTTGCTCATTTTTGTATAGCTGTCACAAATGGACTCCTTCATAAGTTTCATTTATACCGTACATCTTTATTCCTTACTGTGCCTGCTTTATAGCAGGTATGTACGACTGTTTAGTTGGCCTAATTATAGAGTCACTAAAGAATGTGTGTGCGTTCCTATTATAGTTCCCAAAGCACAGGCCCAATATAGGTCCCAATATAGGAACAGCTATAAAGTGCCTAAAACTACAATTCTTTATGGTCATGACTTATTTGGAATGATGATTTTCCAATGCTGGGTTGGAGATCCGCCAAGAAAAGGCAAACTTTGTCTCACTGGTCATATGTTTATCCCACACACCTAGGATGCAGAGCTGCAATTTGGATTTGGTTTGGAATGGAAGCATGGGTCACTGCGTCTATCATCAAGTCTCTCATGCAGCAGCAGTCCTTGACTAAGGTCCAAACATGAGAGCAGGGAGATTGGATCTTTCCTGGGGAAAAAGTCCCCGAACATGGCCATGTCCAAGACCAGGCAGACCGTCCAAGCAATGGGGATGGTTCCTGTGTGGACTTCTAGAGACTCCGGACCGAATCTCCGGACAGAATCTCTGCAGGGTTTTCATTGCCTTCTGAATGTTAGAAAGCAAGGCTTCTGTCGACTGTTCTCAGAGTAGATCATCCAGGTACCCAACTATAAGGATCCAGAAAACGAAGCAAGGGCCAGCAACTTGGTAGAGTACTGACTCTTCAAATGGGTATTACTGTGCTTACCCATTTAGGAGCAGTTAACAGTGTTCAGGGTGATCACCCCCATCATACAACACCGGTTGTGAAAGTGCATGCACAAGGAAGGTTTTGACAGGTTTGGGCATCCCAGACTAGTTAACTGTGGCAGGTGGATAACTGTAAACTATTACCCACCACATCCACAAAGATTCAGATGTGTCGGAGTTTTGAAGAGATGTCCAGAGGCCAGTCCTTTTCCTCTGCTAAATCCGCAGACAGGAGCCCATCACCTAAAGACACTAGCAAAAAACTGCAGCAGGCTGGGAGTGGGAGGGGTTATACAGGGCTGTCTTACAGAGCTGACTGATTTGCCAGTGTCCAATCATCTGACAGTAGTTGCATAACGCAGTGGTTAACCAAATTAACTCCCTGTATCTTGTTCTGTACAATCAAGAAAAGTTTTTTTTGCTTGCACTGAGATGAATAGGAAATTATTTTCAATGTTAAAGGGCATACCAGTTCGTACTAATAGGGCAGGTCTGTAGGGCATCTGCATACCATTAGTTTCAGTGCACACTTTCAGTCCTGGGAGTCAGAGAATGTTTAGCAGGCATTAGCACATATTTTTATTGTGTTCCCAAGCTTTTACCTACAAGTAATGATTGCACTAAGAAGGTTATAATGCAACCAAATTCTACCCTGGAGTCCTCACATACTGAAAAAAAAGTAGGTATTTAAAATTCTATTATGCGTTTTACATAAACACAATAAAAATAAATAAAATCATGTTCAAAACAAACCATTCAATCTGACGTACTTTATCAGCATGGCCAAAACTTGACTAATGAAAAAAAATAAAAAACCTACAACTGCAGAAATATAAATACAAACCTGGGGGAGGATTCAGGTAGACACTGTTACATGTTAGTAACTTCTTTATGAACTGAAAATATTCTAAGCTGAACTGCATTCGATTGTGCATGAATTGCACATTTTGCTTGCGTACACTTCGCTCAATGGCTGAGGGCATCTTGATCTGGTGGGGTTTTGAGGTGATTGTAAGCTCATTTATATATTTGATCAGCTCATTGTCTTTATCTAGAGTGTCCATGCGTTCATAAAAAAGAATGTAGGCATTCCACCACCTCTTCTGACGCCGGTATGACATTCTTTTCATCATGTGGTCAAACACTTCCCCCATGTACTCTCCGCCAAAGCACTGGTTCTTCATTTCCTCATCATCATCCATTTTGCATTCCGTGACATCTCCATCATCAAACTTATACCAGCGATTCTTTTCCCCATCGCCTCCATTTCTTTGGATGATGTAAGAATAGTAATGGCCTCCACTGGCCTGCCCACTGTGCACCAACACCCCAACTAGTCTGTATTTAGTGCTTCCAGAAGGTTCATTTTCAGTCTGTTCATTGGGGATGACCTGATTTTCAGGGTTAACCTCATCTCCTTCCAATTTTGCTACACCAGCAACTGTATATGGCTCCATGTCTAGCTCTCGCGGAAACTCAAAATAGTCATTGAATTTAATTGCACATTCCCTTTCCCAGTCATAGTCAAAGCGTTTCAGCTGGATGGCTAGAACAGGAGGCAGCTTCTTGATTAGCAAACGCTTCACTGTATCAACCTGGTACGACACATTCCAAGAATTAGTATTGTTATCGTGCTAAATACATTTCTTATTTTAGGACTATAAAGCAGTATTACACAGACCCTAAAATACAGCACAGTAATAAAATAATCTGAGACACACCTAAACAGTCATTGAAAAAAATGCCAAATAAACTGCATACATCACAATAAAGCACATAGTTGCACATAATTGCATTGGTTTCTAAAATAAGAAAAACCTCTGACCTTTTTGTTGCATTTTTCACAGTGATATGCATTTGCACCTTCCAGTAAGTCTCCTTTAACGTACTGTTCCATTGAGTCAAGCAGGTTTTGGTGGTTCCTAATATCTACATTCAGGGTTGTAAAGGATTCTTCACATTCGTACCTTAAAAATAGCACAGAATTTGTAGAAATGTGTACAAACATTTTTTATTTTTTTTTAGAGGGGGGGAAAAAAGAAAAAAAAGAAAAAAAAGAAAAGAAAAAAAAGCAGTGAAACATTTGAAACACTGTACAACACAAAGAAATAATCACGTTGCCATTGTGGCAACTTCACCATCCATGGGCAGAATATACAAAAGCAGACATTTGTGCACATTCCAGCCTAGGTAAAGTCACTTACCTATGGGGGCACCCTTGGCAAATTTTTTGATCAGCAAAAGATCCTCCTAAAACTTTGCTTAACATTGTTGGATGACCTAAAGCTTTTAATGCTTCATCTAAACTATCAACAAGGGAATTGAAAAATTCTAATGCATCATGTTGCTCCCTCAGGTTAACAGGTTCTCCCCAAAGCCTAAGAAAAGAAGAAAAAAAAACACATCTAAATAAATGTTTTACATAAAACACCTTTCAAGACATGAACATACATACTTCATACACTGTATAATCATCAAATGTGTAATATATATATATATAAAAAAAATATAAATATTAAATAGGTTCCCCTTTTGGCACCAACAGCTCCACTCCACCAGACCTCTCAAGGTATGCAGTGGTATCTGGGACCAAGCTGTCAGTAACAGATCCTTTAAGTCCTGTAAGTTGTGAGCTTGGGCCTCTATAGATTGAACTTTTTCTCCAGCACATCCCACAGATGTTCAATTGGATTGAGATCTGGAGAATTTATCTCTGTCAACACCTCGAACTTGGTGTGTTCTTCAAGCCATTCTTGAACCATTTTTGAAGTGTGGCAGGGCGCATTATCCTGCTGAAAGAGGCCACTGCCATCAATACTGTTTCCATGAATGGGTGTACTTGGTCAGCAACAATGTTTAGGTAGGTGCCACGTTTCAAAGTAGCATCCACATGAATGGCAGCACCCAAGGTTTCCCAGCAGAACATTGCTCAAAGTATCACACTGTCTCTGCCTGCTTGTCTTCTTCCCATAGTACATGCTGGTGCCATCACTTCCCTAGGTAAGCCACACACACCCCCGGGCTATCCACATGATGTAAAAGAACACGGGATTCATCCGACAAGGCCACCTTCTGTCATTGATACGTGGCCCAGTTCTGCTGCTCATGTGCCCATTATAGGTGCTTTTGGCAGTGGACACAGGCCAGCTGAGGCACCATAACCGGTCTGTGGCTAAGCAGCCCTATACGCAACAAACTGCAAAGCACTGAGTGTTAAGACACCTTCCTATTGGAATTATCATTAACTTTCTCAGCATTTTAAGCAACGGTAGCTCTTCTATTGGATTGGACTACATGGGCCAGCTTTCGCTCACCACGTGCATCAATGAGCCTTGGTCGCCCATGACCCTGTTGCAGGTTCATCATTTTTACTTCCTTGGACCACTTTTGGTAGCTCCTGACCATAGCAGACCAGGAACATCCCACAAGAGCTGCAGTTTTGAAGTTACTCTGACCCAATCATCTAGCCCATCACAATTTGACTCCTAATGCTTGCCCATTTTTTTTTCTCTTTCCAACGCAAACTTTGGGGACAAAATGTTAACTTGTTGCCCAATATATCCCACCCATTTCCAGGTGCCATTGTAAATCACCTGTCAGTGGTCATAATGTTATGGCTGAATGCTGTATAAAAAAAAACACACACACAGATATATACAAATACACATTGGGACAGCCATATCTGCTTTGGTGTGGCATGGTAACACAATCCCACTATGCCTTAAAAGTCTACTATGTTCAATGAGTTGTAGTAGACTGATACATCTCTTCAACTGGTGGCACTCACAACCACCAATACACAGAGAATCATTAGAGGAGGTGTGTGCACATTTATGAAATAAGGAAAAAGCAGCAGGTAAAGTGTGAATGTTTAAGACTCCAATTTCTAAAACAATGTAATAAACTTTAACTGAGAATTTGGAAAAAACACTATAGCAGTATGCATTTAAACATCTACTGCCCATGCAGCACAGTCATATTTACATTCCCACTAGTTGCTCTGAGAACTGGCAACCATCATCACCAATTTTCAACTGATGCTTCCTATCCAATTACAGAAGGTGACCGTTAGGTAAATAGAGAACACACAGACACACTTGTTTACTGGCCATTATCTTTTCACTAAATATACTGCTATATCTGATTGCTTCTTGTCAGAATACATTCTCTCTCCAGAACTGTTTATTTTTTTTATATAGGATGTATAAAAACCAACAAATGCTAAGCAACAATGGAAAATGATCTAGAACTCTCTGAAACCATTTTATCTAGACAGTTTATTTGGTTATATTAACATGCAATATACAGTTAACTAGAGGGCTGATGAAAAGCACAACAGAAAATGTGTGTATAGCAAAGTAAGTTCTGTATAAGACACATTAAAATTGAAAAACTGGAAGACCTAATACCACATACAGTTTACAGCAAAAGGCAAATACTCGCACACTTACATTCCATATTGTATTCGCATTTTTAGTAAAATTTAAATTTTAATATTTACATTTAACACTTATATTTATTTCGCAATGTAAAAGTTTTATTTAAAATGTATTCTTTCTTCTTTTTGCAGTCGTGAAAGCATTTCACTGCATATCATACTTGTACGATTGTGTATGTGACAAATAAATCTATCCATCTATCTAAATGCAACCTACCTGAATTGTTTCCAAAATCCTCTTGGTACATAATACTGCAATCTGGATGCAGCTAAGTGTCCAAAGATGACCTGCAGATGCCTTAGTACACCAATATTGTATTCTTTTCTGTCCTCTGTTTTATTCAGTGAAGGCTTGTCTTCATATTGGTGAGGGTAACCAAAAACATCATCTCGTGGGTCTACGTTGCTCTAGAAGTTAAAGTAAACAATATAGGCACCAAAAACAAAGTTTATCAATTTTTAGTTAAACAAGCACACACACACACACTGGCAAGTCACAGAGTTTGTCAATATTTATACTTCTATCATAGGCAGACAATATCCAGTAATGCAGTCCTGTCTTCCACTTGTTTGAGAGATGAAGTCATAGATGGTATTCCAACCGGAGCCCAACTTTATATGATCTAATAACTTACTCATGCAAAGAAACTTATTCACATCAGATAACCAATGCTCTAACTATAGCAAAAAGCCAATAGGCTTTTCCTACTTAATGTAAAATACATTTCTTGAATAAAAGACACAGCTACAGTGAGGAAAATAATTTGATCATTGCAGCTTTTGTAAGATTGTTCACTTAGAAAGAAATAAAAAAAAAATTAGACCTTTCATCATAGTTGTATTTTAAATGATAGAGGCAGAATATCAACCAAAGTCCAGAAAACACACGATACAAATGTTCTAAATTGAGTTGCGGTTCAGTGAGTAAAATAAGTATTTGATCCCCTACGAACAATAATTCTGGCTCCCACAGACTGCCTATGTGGTACACAGATTAGTCCTATCAATTTAAGAAGGTGCTCCTAATGGCAACTCGTTATGTATATAAAAGACACCTGTCCACAGAATCTTTCTTCCATTCAAACCTCACCACCATGGGCAAGACCAAAGAGCTGTCAAAAGGAGGTTAGGGACAAGATTGTAGACCTGCACAAGGCTGGATTGGGCTACAAGACTATCAGCAAGAAGCTTGTTGAGAAGGAAACAACTGTTGGAGCGATTATTTGCAAATGGAAGGAATACAAAATAACCATCAATCACCCTCGGTCTGGAGCTCCATGCATTATTTAACCTTATAGGGTAAGGATGATCATGAGAAAAGTGAGGATCAGCCCAGAACTACACGGGAGGTGCTTGTGAATGATCTGAAGGCAGTTGGGACCACAGTCACCAAACAAACCATTGGTGACACAATACACTGCCATGGATTGAGATCCTGCAGCACCTGCAAGGTCCCCTCCTCAAGAAAGCAGGCCCGTCTGAAGTTTGCCAATTAACATCTAAGGCCTTGTTCACACCAAATGCAGAGCAGATCTGCATGAGTTTCTGCACACGCAGTGCAGTGGGTTGTGCCGCGTTTTTGATGCGGTCCGGGCCATCCAGTTGGGACAAAGAAACAAACTTTGCGCTGACCCAGACGGTAAGAAACACAAATCAAAAACTGAGGGACGAGGGGGGTGGGAGGGATTTTTAAACTTGTCTGATTGTGTTTCCTGTAGACTGAAGATCCAATCATCTCTCAGGTTTCTGTCCTGGAAGATGATTGAAGAAATAAATATATATATTTTTTTGTTTAAAATAGGCTTTCAGTGCGTTCCAGGGCATTTGCATCCGTTCTAGCGCAGGTAAAAATAGGGCCTGCTGCAGTTTTTTTTACCTGCTCTGGACCGGAACGCTGCGATTTGATCTGGAGCTGAAGATACCATTGGAATACATTGGACGCAGTTTTGCTCCGGTCTGTAACTGCTCTGCTACTGGAACCCGCTTGGTGTGAACAAGGTCTAAATGATTCAGAGAAGGATTGGGAGAAAGTGCTGTGGTCAGATGAGACTAAAATTGAGCTCTTTGGCATTAACGCGACTCGCCGTGTTTGGAGGAAGAAAAATGCTGACTATGACCAGTACACCATGCACGGAGGTGGAAACATTATGCTTTTGGGCTGTTTCTCTGCTAAAAGTATAGGCCGACTTGAGTGGCCAATGGACAGGGCCACGTATTGTACAAACTTGGATGAGAACCTCCTTCCCTCAGCCAGAACACTGAAGAGAGAATGACGTGAGGTATAGGAGCAGTGTTCTTCCATGTACTTCGAGTACAAGATTATTATTTTTTTCTATCGTCCATTGGGGAACACATTGAGGAATATCAAGCTTGATATTTAAACAAACTAGTAACATCTAAAAGCAGTCCAAACTGAAGGGTGAACACTCAAAACACAAGATACCAACAGAGCAAGAACAAAACACAAAAAGGGAAATGAAGATCCTTAAGAGAACTATGAGGCAAGTGTTTTTTCCCCATAGTTCTCTTTGGGTCACAGGAGGAGGTTAGAATATGTCCTCCCGTGGCCCTAAAGTTCAGTATATAGCGAGCTATTGTCCGTGATATAGTGAGAATGCCGCAGCTGGGACAGATCCCCAAAATACGGTTGTGATCCACCGAGCTGCGTGAGTGACAGCTGGCTCTGCCTATCTAGAGAGCTAACTATAAGGATGAGTGGAAACCACTCCTCGTAGTTCTCCATTAATAGGCCGCTTCAGGAACATTTCAAACAAAAATAGCACCTGCAGAAGCAGACTCATCGACCTTGCAAAACTTGGAGAAAGTATACACAGAAAACCTGTCTTACAATGAGGCCTGTTGACAAAAAAGCCAGAGAAGAACTAAATGCCCTAGTGGAATGGGCTTTTTTTAACCACGTGCTGACCAGGTGTTTAAACCACCTTCCTGGAATAAAAAAAAAAAAAACAGTTCAAGAACACAAAAGAAAAAAAAACTGTCAAATACTTTAACAGCTTCCTGAAGAACTTTTCTGCCAAAACCAGCATTAGGGGAGGCAGAAATATAAACTTTGCGGAAGTGTGAACAGAAGACCAACTTGCGGCCTTGCAAAATTGAGCTTGTTGTTTAAGGCCCCATTCACACAGAGCGACATGAAAATCGCGCGATTTTCTGCGCGACTTTTTCCTACTGGGCTGTATGCAATCAGGAGCAAAATCGCTCGAAATCCGCAGAAAAAAAAAGGGTCATGATGAGCTACAAGCGATATTGAGCGGCGAGATGTGAATAGCTCCATTGAAATGGATTGGAGAAGCTACATAGAGCGATATCGCGTGGAAATATGAGCGATATCGCTGCAAAAATTGCGCGATAAATCGCTCAGTGTGAATGGTGCCTAAATGTTCACGAAATACAGCCTGAATGACAAATCCAACTAATCCATTTTGGATCTAGAAGCTGAAACAACTTTAAGGACATTCTGGGAGGACAAAAAGAATCTGAAAGGAAGTAGTGACTTACAAACTGTAAGAGCTCGATCAACATTTAAGCAAGAAAGAGAAATTCCCAGAGTGAACAGGAGCCGGACAAAGTGAAGGTAAAACTATCTTCTTTAAGATGAAAGTCTGAAAACCACCTTGGGTAAACCGGAAACCTGCTGTCCTAAAACAACCTTCTCTTTATGAAGGATCAAATAAGATTCTCCGCAAGACAAAGCAGACAACTTCAAAACCCTTCTAGCTGATGTAATGACCACAAGCAAAGCAACCTTTTTGAAAATGATAAAGAAATCTCTCGAATAGGTTTAAAAAGTAGATGTTTGCAGAACAGATAACACAAAGTTAAAGTCCCACAGGTGAAGAGGAGACCTAACAGAAGGAGCCATAAATCGTAACTTGAAGTATGAATCAAGGAATTAGAAGCCAGAGAAAGTTGAAAAAAGCACAGATAAAAAAGGCAGAGATTTCACACATAAATGGTACTGGGAGAAACATTGAACTACTCAAAATTGAAGACAAAATAGGCAAAAACACAAACCTAAATCCAAAAAAGTTGAGTTAAAAAAACTGACAAAATATACCATTTGAAAAAATAAAAAATAAAGTAATTCCGAAACTGATGGCAGCAACAGGTCTCAAAAGTTGGGACAGGGCAACACAAAGCTGGCAAAGTAAGTGGTACTACCAAGGAAGATCTGGAAGAACATTGTGCAGGTCAGTAACATGATTGGGTATAAAAAGAGCATCTGGGAGAGTCAGTGTCTCAGAAGTAAACATGGGCAGATGTTCACCAATCTGGGAAAAGCTGTCTCTAAAAATTGTCAAACAATATTGGAAAAAATGTTCCGCAACATAAAATTGCAAAGACTTTAAATATATAATCTACAGTACATAATATCAGAAGATTCAGAGAATCTGGAGAAATTTGTGTGCAAGGGACAAGGCCGAAATGCAATATTGGATGCCTGTGATCTTTGGGCCCTCAGACAGCACTGCATTAAAAACAGGCATGATTCTGTGATGATCACTGCATGGGCTTAGGAATACTTCCAAAAATCACGGTCTGTGAACACAGTTTGCCATGCCATCCAGAAATGCCAGTTAAAGCTCCATCATGCAAAGATGTAGCCATATTTGAACATGACCCAGAAATGCCGCCATCATCTCTTGGCCATAGCTCATTTAAAATGGTCTGTTGCAAAGTGGAAAACTGTACTGTGGTCAGACGAATCGAAATTTGACAATTTTGGCAACTGTGTCCACCACATCCTAGGGACTAATAGGAGATGGACCTTCCGGTTTGTGATCAGCGCACAGTTCAAAAACCTGCATCTCTGATTGTATGGGGGTGCATTAGTGCGCATTGAAAGGGCAGCTTGCACATGTGGAACAGCACCATCAATGTTGGATATATCCAGGCTTTAGAGCAGCATATGATTACATTCAGACAATGTCTTTTTCAGAGAAGGCCGTGCATATTTCAGCAGGACAATGCTAAATTGCATCTATGACAACAGCATGGCTTCGTAGTAGAAGAGTCCAAATGGTAACTGGCCTGCCTGAAGTCTAGACCTTTCACCAATTGAAAATATTTGAGCATCTTGAAATGAAAAATAACACAATGACGACTCAGGACTGTTGAGCAGTTAGAATCCTATATCAGACAAGAAAGAGACAACATTCCTATCCCAAAAAAACAGCAACTAGTCTCTTTAGTTCCCAGACGTTAACAGAGTGTTGTTAAAAAGAGGAGGAGATGCTACTCTGTGGTAAATATGGCCCTGTCCCAACTTTCTTGAGATGTGTTGCTGCCATCAATTTTAAAATTACCTTAATTTTTTTCTTAAAATTGTAAATTTTCTCAGTTTAAACATTTGATATATTTTCTACTTTCTATTGAGAAAATATGGGTTTGGGAGATTTGCAAACCATTTTGTTTTTATGTAAATGTTACATAGCGTCCCAACTTTTTTGGAATTGGAGCTGTAGAAACAGTCCATAAATGTACTTCTGTTATCACCTACACACTCGTGCTCCCGGTAGATTGATGTAGGCCACCGGCAAGCCATTGTTTGAATCCAAATCAGTCACCCAGAGAGGAGATAAGTCCAATGAAATAACGCCAGATGAATTGCCCTCAACTCAAGGACATTGATTGGAAAACCGGAGACCAAACAACCCTGCACAAACAGAAGATCCAAGAGACCGCAACACCTTACAAGACTGGAGGGAGTCCATCCTGACAATCTTACAAGTTATGGGAAGGAATGACTTCCCCATTGGCAAGATAAGGAATGTCAACTACGGCGACAGAGACAACATGGCAGGAGAAGTCAATCTGATCAGGGGAGACTTGTCCCACACTGTAAGAATGTTGCTCGGTAATGTTCTGGATGGAACAGAGCACAAAGTACCGCTTCAAATGGCGGACATCATCAAACCTAGAACTCTCATGCAGGCTCAGAGGATCGGCAATGGGACCGAAGAGATCAAACTTAACCTGAAACTTCAGCAATTTGTCTTAAGGAAGCAAAACCCTCGCCTGAAAAGGTTTCACACAGAAGACCCAAATAGTCCAAGTAATGCTACAGAATGTTCAGAATCCACCCAAAGTCCTCCAAGGTCCACAGTACCATTTGAGACATTGCGCTCCAGAGTCAGAAGAAACTGTTCGCAAAGTAAACTACCTTGGGACCGATAGGAAAATTGATATAATGAAGGTCATCTACAGCAAACCAAAGAAAATGCTGATGAGCTGAAAAAGCATGAACATGTAGATCCGCATCTTTTATGCCGATGCAAAACCAAAAAAATCCCCTGTTGGAGAGGCGACAACTGACCGAATGGATTCTGCCCTGAATGTAGACAAATGCATTTAGTGCTTTTAAATCCAAAGGCAATATTGGGTTTTGGAAACTGTAAACACATTTGGAGTAAAAACCTTGAAAACGTTTCGCAAAAACAACAATAACAATGCACTGATCCAAAAGACCTTTAACTGCGCCAAAAAAGGTCCATCTGACACTGCTGAGACATGGGAAGCCGAGACGTAAAGAACAAAAGGACAAGGAGGAAGATTCAGCTATTTTGTAAACAGTAAAAACCACCTCCAAAACCTACGCATCTGAAATTTGAACTTCCCAAATATCCGCAAATGCCATCAATGTCCCCCCACCAGATGCAAAAGGTGGGGGTAGACCTTCATACTGAAGCAGACTTTTCTGAAGGCATGGAGGTATCGGATTGCCAAGGTCATCTAGAGGATTTGAAAGACTTGGAATCATCAGAGGTCTTGAAATTGGGAATGGATAACCCGTTTGGGAGAACAAAAGGGATGTTTCAAGAACACAAATGAAGCAGCAGACTTACAACATTGATTTTACAATTGTTCTCACTTTTTAAATAATTATTAATAATTTGGTCCAGTAAAAGCTCCAAAAAAATGATTTCCCACATAGGGCAAAAGCAAAAGACTATTTTTACACTGAAGCGAGACTGACAAGCACATAAGCCAGATTACTCTGCGTATCTGAATGGAACAAACAGATACACAAGACAAACAGACAAGCAGCAAGAATCGCATCACACATCTGATCAACACAATCAATAAAATTCCAGCAGCCGCCTGATCTGCACATTTTGTTCAAGTGGCTAAGTCTAGAAAATAAGTAGAGCTGCAACAGTTAATCGATTAAGTCGATTAAAATCGACGATTGAAAACGTTGGCAACGTTTAGGACAATAACCAATAACAGTTTAAGAGCCGAACCAGTTAACGAATAATGGCAGGAGAAAGATTCTCCATTTTTTTGTCATTCGGATCCTTAATTATTCCTGTTGATGCTCCTTCGCGTAACGCCTTAAGGGAAGAAATTGGAGGATTAACTTCAGGCAGAATAGACCGTTTAACAAAATTTTCTGGAAAAAGATACAGCCTGAAAACATCTAGGAACCAGAAACTGATTATCTGGAATTTTCCAATCCTTCTAGAGAAACCTATTTTGCAGATGCGCTCAAGTTTATGCAAACCCAGACTAGAAATTAAAGGAGAAAGAACAGCGGAACCCTCTAGATTTAAATAGGAACACACAGCCTCAATTAAGAAGGCAACCATTTCTTTCGGTTGCCAATTGCACAGATGACTGAAAATCAGCCTGATCCTCATCAGAAGAAACCATCAGACATTGAATTTTTCGAAAAAATGCAATTCCAGAAAAATCAGGCATTTCATCCTCAGAATGCATAGGCAAAAGGTGAAATACAACTTTGTTAATCCTTCTGAACAGGGACAAGTTTCTCCAAACACAGTAAAAAAATTCTCCATATTAGGAGAAAAATTTTGTTTTCGAAAGAAAAAGTGAAGAATTGCCCAACAAAGAGAAAAGTGCAGGATCAGAAACTGACAAGAGATTGTCAGATTTGGCCTTAATAGCAATACACTTCCAGAGAGAATTGTCTGCCTTACATACAGTACACAGCAAAATTTAAAAAGGAGGCATGTCCCTCAGAAGTTAAGGTGCTTTTGTCCCTCTTGCTAACATATCGGATAGCTAGAGAAAGTCTAATAATTTCACAAATCCCTCAAAAGTGCTCACGTCCCCAACTGGTGTGAGATTAGAAAGATATGTGAGGCACCCTTTGACCTGCTAGCAGATGGCAGAATAAGTAAATAGCTGTGTAGTTGGAGAATTTTTTTTTTTCCAATCCCTTTGAAAACTGAATCGCTGAAGAATCGTTGGAAAAGGACCCAAAAGTTCCGTGGCATTGTGATATAGACAGCAATATAGCTATAGAGCATGCCAGAGGTTGGACTACGTGTGAGTGTGCATAAGCGATTAAAAAAAGCCCCAAAAAAACAGACAAGTCTTTAATAACAAGTCCTGGCTTTTTAAAGAGATGGTGGAAAGTTTCAATAAAAATACAGAAACTCCAGATAAATATAATTTCACACAACCATATCAATAAAAAGGATGGGAAATACCCATCCCATAAACTTTATAACTATATCCAGTGACTCAGGACTCCGTGGTCCTGTATCTGACATAACAGGAATCCCCATAGAATACTTGCCTGACCATTAAATTATGAAAATCAGGTGAGATCAAAGAGATATCTTTGATAGGTTCCAAATAAGCTCACTGGAGGATTGAAAGTACCAGATAGGGATCCCATGAGGTCACTTTGCTGACAAAACCATGATTGGAGCAGCCATTTGCTGACCCAACCCAAGTCCTCCTTTAAAGCTTAATGATGGCAAATATGAAATGGTACTCAACAGTGGACTGTAGTACTGCTCACATATTTCAATGAACCTTGCTCTCTTTCTGCTTTAACAGCGGTCTCTAGTGTCACTCCTATGGCCATAGGCATTTCCCCCTGCCCACTTGTATACAGGATTGGCCAGGACAATATGCTGGGATTTCTGCTCCATCATTTAAGAGCAATGACTAATGCAGTAAAGCCCTACAGTTTACAGATCAGTAACACCTTTACTGTACCTTTTATTATTACAGTTCTTGAACACCAGTCACCTGTGTGTGTCTAGCCACAGTCTCTCAAGGTCTACCTGGGAAAACAGTCCGGGGGTCTTATGTAATCAGTATGCCACAGGTAGAAGGAGGCATTCCAACCTCCAGCAACCCTTGTAATGTACTGGCAGGTTACAAGAAATAGCAGAAGGGCCACTTTGTTTAAGTCTGTGATGCATCTTTACAATGGCAGGTTAGAAGTTGAAAAGTGGCAAAAAGAGATGCGTGCAAGACTGATAGATTTTTGGACTGGTTACTGGAACTGCCCTGTTAAATTTACCTCATTGTCCTGTTTTTCATCTCCGGACATGTCATCGTCAACATCACTGCCAGTGCCTTCAATGGCAAGAATACCATTACGGATCGAAGGAATCATATACAGCTGCTGGATAACAGAGTTCATGTAGCATGTAGCCCCTGCATTTTTAAGCCCCACAAAACCCTTTGGGGGCCTCGGTCCAACTGGAGGCAAATATTCCCATTCTGTAAGTGCTTCGCAACCTGTAAGGGCAGAGGAGAGGGAATGCTTTTTACTACTATATTTTTAGAAAATCAGTAATATGATTAATAAAACATGAACCAAAAAATTTTATATTTTCAAAGTAATAGAACGTTCATTACAGAGGCACACTACCAAGGTAGGTCTTAAGCAATACCTGAGTAATACATTTCATTTAATGTATCCACAATCTGTCGGAGGTTTCGAACACACCCCACAGCTAATGCAACCAGAAGCTCGAATCCTGCATTAATAGTGGCTGGTGAACTGCACACAGGAATAGCTTGCTCAGCTGGTAGCTCTCCAGTCTTCATATACTGCAAATACACGTTGGATGCTGGGAATATGAAGTCATCAATCAATTCCTGAAACAAAACAGACCTCATAAGAACATGGTATAGTGTCTGAATTGGCCTATTACCAGATAACATGGTAACACTGGTGGTAAACCCTGACAAAATCATGTTAGTTAATGCGCAATTCCTCCAAAAAGAGGCAATTCCCTAATGTTCTTTTCACTAACTCAGCTACGAAAATCTGTTAGCTTGATAATGGTCTTTTACCAACCTCTGTAATTCCTACAATGCTCTCTACCAGGTCTTCTACAATAATTTAAAAATCTCTACAACACAAACATGATTACTTCATTTATTTGAACAGAAGGCCTAGCATTTCTGGGCACAGAGAAAAACATTTGACATAATTTGTTTGGGTACAATCAAATGTCCACGTGATGGCAACTAAGACACACTGGCTTGCTTTGACTTGAAAGCCCAATTCTGGCTAATTTTGTTTTGCTTGTATTGAACGGTTAGAAAAAGCTTGTTATCTTTTGCATTTTTCTCCTTTTGTTGAATGTGAAACGCAATAGGAAAAGAAGATAAATCTTAGCAAAAGAGAGCAATTTAAAAAGTTTTCTACCAGAAGACAGAATCTCAGTCAAGCTTTTATTGCTATACGAATCCTCAGTGGCTAGATGTCTAAGGCAGTGGCATGACAAAATAGAACTATGGGAAAAAGCAGATATCACATATGCTGCAGTCTGACCGTAGCATTTACTAAGCAGTTTTTGCTTTGCTTGTAACTGCTATAACACAATTGTATTACCTGTGGATCCTGCCAGAAGAGCCTGTTATTTTTTCATTTCCTTTAACAAAGTAACAATGTTGTTCATACTGCAGTGAAATCACTGCAACAGTGTCCCCTGTGGACAAGGAAGTTATGGATTGACATATAGTTTTTCATTTAAGTCCCCTCTGGTCAACTAACAGAACAAAATAGCTGCCAATAATGTTAGGCAACAAACAGACACAAAATAAAAAACAAACATTCTCCTAAGCAAAGCATATCCTACCTTAATGAGATTAGCACCCCCCTTTTCACATCCGATGTGGTATTTCTTCTCCGGTGTTTGGAATGCTAACAATTCCTTTGTTACTCCCAAGTGACCTTCAAGAATTGTCTCCTCGACACCTGTTTCACCGGTCCTTTTCACATCATCCTAAATTAAAAAAGGAAACAGCAGGTTAAATTAGCATCTTAAATAATGAAAACTAGACAATCCTTTAGAAACATTTATAGGATAAGCCAAATGTGTACCCTGAATATTTGATCACAGAAAAACCACTTACCCTTATCCTCTTTAGCCAATCTATTTCATTGTTGAGCAGAACCTCAGCATTGGGAATGTTAATGTTGCTGTTGTAGGCATAATTCAGAAGGTGCCTTAACAAGGTGAAGTAATCCCCAGCATGTTTAGCACGCTCCCTAGCAGTACTCTGTCAATTACCAAAAAAATAAAATAAATAAAAGGAGCAGTAATCACACCTGGATAGACTTGTTATTCACTACATAAAAACATTCAATGTCAATTATATTAAATGGAGGCTAAAAAAAATAAAAAATCCTATATGTTCACATAAAACACTATTAGTAGCCTTGCTTATCAGCTAAAAACACAGCTGTTGGCATGATAGACACAACAGCTGTTCAGTGTATATACATATATATATATGGACTGCTAGTACTGGCTTTTTTTTTACCTGTACGGATTACTCTCAAGGTTAGTGAGCTCACAAACCAGTCACACCGACAGATAAATAGCCAAGTTGAGACCCTAGTGTTATTTTTGCAATGAGCCTTATGTGAAGGAAATCAGTTAAGAAATTGTTTTTTTTTTTAAATTAAAAATAGGATGCTCTCTACACACAAGCAATACAATGTGCCAACAAGTTTTAATCTTACAAATTTTTGTACCATTATAAAATATAGTAACATGCCTTACCCCAAGAACTGTAAACAGAAGTGTGATAAAGAATATAAGAGGTCTATGTCCCATACAACACCTTGTAGACATGAGAAAAAACTGTTCCTGCGCCATTTGTCTCACAAGTCTAAGGAGAAAACAAAAGAACCACAAGGAACATTAAAAGTACATTAGGCCACATTAAAGATGCAACTCTGCATTCTTTTTTTGGTATGCCAACTATTGTGCTCAAGTAGTATGCTTAGTTAAATTAAAAATTTATAATCTCCCGAAAAAGATATTCCACTCTTTTTCCATCCCCTTACTGCTGATCACCTGGGGATCTGCCTTGTATCCTCACCAAGCTGATATTTTGGCAGTTTCATCAGGTCAGTTCGAGGCTGCCAATGCTTGGAGCCACAATGTTTTTCTGGCACAACAGTCTCATCTCAGAAACCCATTAAAAACAAATTGACAAGGAAACACTCAACATTTCATATATGAATTGGTGGAATGGAAGGGGGACCAACCTTACTTAAATGATCCCCCCAAATTCTGAAGTAGAAGATCTTCCATTGCACCTATTCTATTTAAAATCCTATATATGTATAATGGAGTAAAAACAAGAGAAACATCTACTCAATAAAAGAAAGCTTACGACACAATCAAAAGGCAGGAACATTAAAAATGTACTTACTTGCTTTGACAGTGAAGTAACAAGTCAATGATGAAAGTCTGCCATGCTTTCTCTTTGCTGAGCGTTTCCAGTGCTGTTGGTATCAAAGCAAAACACAAAGTCATAGCCTCCAGAGCCTCGCAACAAACTTGTTCATCCTCGGGATCAGGTTCATTGCCAGCATTAGTCTGTGAAAAATAGATTAAAACACAAAAATCTTCAAACTGGTCAATGTATAACCTGACATGACATGCTAACAAGACCACTATTTGCAAGCAATAGTATCATGTGTAGCATAATTCTCAATCGGTGAGTCTTCAGTTCTTCAAAGCCCAAACATTTTAAACTTCCCAATTGCTATTTGCGAAGGGGGGTGCAGGTGTCAAATATGGATTGGGTTTAACAACTAGAAGAACATTCCTAGAGCATGCATACTAGTACCTACCTTCTCATAAATTTTGCTAATTTCTTCATTGGCAGAAAACACCAACTGAACTGACCCACAGCCTGAGGCCCAGATTACTTTCTGTATTGCGCGAATTACACAAATATCTGGGATGTACTTAGAAGCCTTTAAAACAAAACAAAAAAAAGGATAAAATTACATATCTTATTTATTTAAATACAGAAACATACACATCTTCAGAGATTAAAAATCCTAAAAAGGCAAGTTAATCCAAAACTCTGGCCCAACCCAGAAGGCTGGTGTATTTTAGTGACAATTTTACAATGTAAGGGGGGAAAAAAACTGCCCTCCCAACAATGCCAAGGACAAAAGTCAACATATAGAGAATGGGGGTTCGAGGATGAAACTGGATTATGTTCAATTGCAAAGTTCTGCAGTGGAATTGAACAAAATTGGACTACTTCAAAGATGGATACTATAAATCCCAGCACTCTCATTGAACCTCCGCTGAGAAGACATATCGGGATTGAAGTTGAAGACTCTGCACTATCATCTTGTCACAGGCCTGGAAGATTAAGAGCGATGTGAGGGAATCAGAGATGGGTTCTCAAAGTTCAGGAACCATCCAAACCCCTCCAAGATCTGCATCGTGATTTCCACTGGAGTTAAAAGCCATCTTCTGCGGATATCTGATGACTGGAATATTTCTGCAGACGACGATGGTGGCCCAGAACCACCATAGTGAGAGAATAGGAGGGGCCATTAAACAGAGTACCTATCCAGTGCAAATCAAAGAAAGCAATGTCTAGATGGGAATGTGTAAATATGCATTCTTTAGTTCAATGGATGTTAAGTCTCTGCGATGAAGGGAGGCAGTAACTGACCCAACAGTCTATTGGAGGGCAAACAAAGGAATTAAGAACCTTTAAATCCAAGACAGGACAAATGCTTTATTCAGGTATTGAAAGTGCATAAAGGCCAAACACATCAAAGTATTGAAAGGAAAATCACCAGCACTCACAAAGTAACATAAATCCTCTTTTTAATCAAAATATCGTCACATTAATCAAAAAAGCCAACATTTCCGGGGCCATGCAGGGTCCCTTCTTCAGGGTGACATAGTGAGGTCACTGTAGTCCTGAAGAAGAGACCCTGCTTTGCCCCGAAACCTTGGCTTTTATGATGCATGTGACGATATTTCAATAAACGGAATGAGGATTTATGTCCTTACCTCGTTAGTGCAGGTGATTTTCCTTTCAACACTTTGAAGTTTCAAACGGTGTCATCCGTCTAATCACTGCAAGCAACATCATGCTCTGAAGGTTGCCAAATCAGCAGACTTGGTAATGTCTAAAAGGCTCTTCTATACACCACTGACCAAAACTTGAATCAGGTGATTAAAAACCAGAAAAGATCGCTATTATTTCTCCAGCAAAATAAGTTAGCACTGGATGTGTCTTGGGGCACCCCGTCCTCATAACCTAAACACTTGTAGTCAATCATAGACATTCACGCTGCATTCACCTCTCTGGCTTAACTACAAATCAATGAAAGAGTGATTTGTAAAGAGGATGCCAACCTTTTAATGTGGCATTAGTTTAACCTGTGGCAGCGACAAATCGCTTCTTAGCAATAAATTGCCAACGACCAATGCAAATTAATGTGCTAGCTACAACTTGCTGTTAACTACTGGCGTTAGATTTTTTTTTTTCAGTGGTTACTCACTGTTACAAAATGGCCAGCTTTACAAGGCTTTTAGGTTCACACTAAAAAAATCACACCATTCTGAATCATAGATTCAATGATCAGGCACACTTTACTAGTACTTTTCATTAACCTAAGCAGGGGAAAGGCCAAAATACTGTGCAAAAACACATTCAAGCATGACAACCAGATAGCATTATGCTGTTTAACCTCTTGCCGTCCGCAGTAGAAAAACGGACGGACGGCACTGCTGCATTGGCGGGTTGCCGTCGCCAGACGGCATTTTTTTTCTGGTCACGCACGATAGACCCGTCCAATGCAAACACCCGGTACCGGGTGTTTCACATATAGGCGATCAGCGGGTCCATAGCCCGCCGATCGCCTATATGTGCTCGTTCGCGGCACCCATCCCCCCCCCCCCCGCGCCCGCTCGGCGCTTCCGGTTTTTTTTTTTTTTTTTTTTTTCCCCCTGACCCCTCACCTTGATTCCCGGGATCCGCTGCCCCATCTTGGATCCCGGGACCGGCTCCGAGGGCGTCAGGAGGAGGAGGACGGGAGATCAGCTCCTTGCTGATCCCCGTCCGGGCTGTGAATGCAGAAGTGATGTGTGTTACATCACTTCCGCATTCACCTGTCAGTCATCTGGAGAGAGAAGAAGCTGATAAAGCAGATCTCTGCTTTATCAGCTTCTTTTGGGGTCCATAGGTGATATTAGGGGTCCTAGAGACCCCTAATATCTCCATAAAGAGGACCTGTCAGTGTGCCTTTGCTATTATATAGGGGGTTGTTATCCCCCTATATAATAGCAATAACAATAAGTGCAAAAAAATAAATATAAATAAAAATAAATAAAAGTAACACATAAAAAAGTAAAATAAAATAAAAGTCACATATAAAAAAAGGGGAAAAAAACCCCCAAAATGTTTAACTCCCCCACCCCCACGTTTACGCGCCTATAAACGTAAATACGCGTCCGGTGCCCCAGCGCGCAAAAATTACAATTGCGCTACACACGTTACATATCGTCGCGAACGTCGCAGTGAGAGCAATCATTTTAGGGCCATCAATCACTGATAACACTAAACTGATGAGCGGTAACAGCTTTTAAAGCGTCGCCTATGGCCAATTTTGGGTATTATCGTTTGAGGTTTTGCGCGCGCATGTAATTTTAAGGCTTGACCTGTTTGGTGTCTTTTTACCCAACGTGACCCCGTCTTTTATATTTTACCAAAAAATTGGGTAATAATACATGTTTTATCATTTAATAAAAGGGGAAACTGTTTTTTTTTTTTTTAAATTTCGGTGATTTTTCCTTAATATAGTAAAAAAATAAAAACCCCAGTGGTGAATAAATACCACCAAAAGAAAGCTCTATCTGTCCCCAAAAAAGGGTATAAAATTCATTTCAGTACAGCGCTGCATGACGGAATAAATGTCAGTCAAAGTACCGGAGCGCTGAATACTGAAAAATGGCCTGGATGGGAAGGGGGTTTAACACCGCGGATGTCAACTGGTTAAATGAATACAAAATGAATTCTGACTAGATGGTTGGAGATCAATCAAAGTTCATATCGAAAGTTGAAATTTTAGGACTTCTTGTGTTTACAATTGATTCCACAAATAAATGACTTCTTGCATATAGGAGTTATGTAAAAATGTACCTCATCCGATATTTGCTGTGCAAGGCGTATTGCTACATTTCTCAGCATACATTCCGAGGTTGGATTAGGAATGTTCTGCAGGGCATTTTGTAGCACCACTGCTTGATCATGTGTAGCCTAGAGTCACAAACATAAGATAACTTAGTAGATATTACCAACAGTTATATATATATATATATCTCTCTCTCTCTATCTAATCTATCTATCTTACATTGTTTGGATGTAGAGAGACACACACAAACACAGAAACAGATAAAATGATGCAGTATGTTGTCATTTATTGTCAGGTGTTGTTTCTATGTTTGCAAATACACACACTAATATGCTAAGTGTTTAGTTAGGGACTAATTCAACCAAGCACTGAATTCATCACAGAACTGTTAAAGACAGATCTGTACACTACATTAGGACAGTGTGATGTGCAAACATGTATTTATCTCCAAAACAGGACAAACCAGGGGTCTTAGCCTTGGTAGCCAGATTTAAAGTGACATTAAACCCTCAGATTTTTTAACACAAACCAATACTGTAATATGTGCCTTACTGTAATCCATGGTAGTTTCCCTTCTCTTTGCTGTTCTTACTTTTAAATCCTCATGTCTTCTCATGCTTGGGGAGAACTTCCCTTTGCAGCTCAGGGCCTCTTCCTGTAGTGCTGGCTCAGGTTACAAACCTATACACAGACACCATATATCCTGAGACAAGGCAGTCTGCTGCAAAACAGAAGTTCTGCCCAGCATGAGAACAGATACAGATTTAAAAGGAAGAGCAGCAAAGAGAAGGGAAACAACCATGGTTTACAGTAAGGCACACATTACAGTATTGTTTTATGTTAAAAAATCTGAGGGTCATGTCACTTTAACAAATAAATAATATGTATACATCATTCAGTCTTAGCATTGCCAACAAATCTGACTTTACTGATGCAGAAACGACACTAACGGTGTAAAGTCAACACACAACATTCATCTAAGCCTGCAATAAAACACTGCAAGCACACATTACTTACCAGGAGAACATACAAATTAACTCAAATATATAAACTTACCGGTGAGACAGGATTTGTTCCCTCCACTGGCTGGCAAGCCTCAGCGACAGCCCGGACATGACCATAACCAATCGCAGTAAGCAGCAATTTGGCGACTTTCAATGCATTAAGGTATGCACTTCTCCTTGTTTCCATATCAGCATTTGGCAAGAAGTTATTTCGAGTAAGCATGCTCAATACAAGAGGCAAACCACCACTTTTGAGAAAGTTGTACTGAAAATCACTTGCATCCTCTCCCAAGGGAGCATTGGCAGGCATTAACAAGGCATAAACAACCTAGGGGGAAAAAAAGAAGATTGACACGGCGGCGAGAAAAACATCCGACACAAATACGAGTAAAATCAAATCACTAACCTCTGTCAGATATAAAACTTGAGATGCCGACTGGCCAAAAAATAGTGAATCTAAGGATGAACTCAAGCTACTTTCTCCAAGTTTAGCATGATCTAAACAAATTGCTCGGAGTTTCTCTACAATGGTACTGTCTGAAAAAGCACAGATCGGACAACTAGGTTATGAAATACAGAGGTTAAAAAAATACACAAGCTATATACAAAGACAGTGGTGCTAACTAAAAAAAGAAGAAGAGCACAATAAAGTGGAATTTCTGAATTTTATAGTAGGCTTTACTGTTGGCAGCTAAATTTAAGCTTGCATGCTTAGGTACTGAGATTTTAGGCGTTCGAGATATAGTAAAAATAATTTGTACATTAAAATACAATAATGATCAAAGTCAGCCCACTCCTTTCACACTTGAATTTGTGGCTTTACTGTGTAATCTACAGATTTGTAATAAAAATCAACCAATAGGTGATAGCTGGATAAAAAAAAAAAAAAAAAAAAAATGATGCCCCCAGGTTTCCTTTTTGCAAATTTT